TTGGTTTTGGGTACTTGAAAAGGTGAAGAGAAATTTGCAAGGCAAAGCAAGTGTATTTGCAAAGGTGGATGATCTGGGTCCATAAAGTAAAAAGCCTGCCTACTTTTCCTAACCCTGTTCACTTAATGAGGTGATTAGCCCGCAGTATGTGTTTGTGGAGCTAGAAATGCAAATGGCTGGAACTGATCTCAGTTATGGTTTTTACCAACACTGTTTATTTGTATAGAACGGTGCTGTGCATGGTGGAAAATATTCAAAGGAAAAAAAAAAAGAAAAGGTACATAGCAGTTGAATTATTGAGGCAGGTGAAGAAAAGGTTTGACAAAAAAACTATGAGTAATCAGTTTTAGTTAATAGTTTAAAGAGACATTTTCCAGGTTTTTACTTAAAAATATCTTTAAAATAGCATTTTTATTTGACCCTTGTGGAGTAGTAGAGAACTGAGAAACATGGTGCGATGAAGAACACAGATTTTGTTTTACGTCTGCAGATGGAGAGACGGCCCTCCTGTGAGTGAGCTTAGCTCTGACTTGGTCGATTTTTTACCCCTACACTGGTTAACACGTTGGTTGCTCCCAAGAAAAACAACTTCAGTTGATCAAGGACATATATCTTTCACCAGCCAGATGAAACATTTCACAACAGCTGTCTTCCTCTCATGCCACGAGGGAGGCTGAGGAAGCTGTATTTACTTATCTCTCCTGGCCTTCCCTTCCTTCAACCCTCGAATGGAGGGCCCGGTCCACACACTCCTCCTCACAGGCTCTAAAACTTTATTTTTATTTCACATCCTTTAAGACTAATGCATTGTTGGATGAGCCCACTGACACCTCAGTAGTTCAGCATCGATGCATCTACAAGCCTGTAGCCTCTGTCACAACCCCAAATCTGTCCCAGAAGCACGATCCGTACCATCAGCTCATTAGCGCATGCGCAACCAGATATAATCTGTCGCAGAAGCACGATCCGTACCATCAGCTCATTAGCGCATGCGCAACCAGATATAATCTGAGTCGCCCTCGAATTTATTTTGTCAAAAGACCTAAAATACGTTTGTCCCTCTCCAAAAATAGTAATTGTACTAAACTATAATGTGTTAAATGTTAATAATGTATTTACTGAGAAAATAAATGCATTAAAATTCTCTCTGTTTTATCACTCTCCTGTACCTAATTTGTACCAGAAATGGGATCCTACGCTACTTCCATGAGCTTTTTCCGCTTTGGATTTAAACATAAATCTAGTCTCTTTGACTTTTGTTTTCCTTTCTTGTTAACATTACGGTATATACAGGTGCTGGTCATAAAATTAGAATATCATGAAAAAGTAGATTGATTTCAGTAATTCCATTTAAAAAGTGAAACTTGTATATTATATTCATACATTACATACAAACTCATATATTTCAGATGTTTATTTTGTTTAATTTTGATGATTACAAATGACAACAAATGAAAATCTCAAATTCATCATATCAGAAAATTAGAATATTGTGAAAAGGTTCAAAATTGATGGCCCCTGGTGCCACACTCTAATCAGCTAATTAACTCAAACCACCTGCAAAAGCCTTTAAATGGTCTTTCAGTCTAGTTCTATAGGCTACACAATCATGGGGAAGACTGCTGACTTGACAGTTGTCCAAAAGACGACCATCGACACCTTGCACAAGGAGGGCAAGACACAAAAGGTCATCGCTAAAGAGGCTGGCTGTTCACAGAGCTCAGTGTCCAAGCACATTAATAGAGAGGCGAAGGGAAGGAAAAGATGTGGTCGAAAAAAGTGTACAAGCAAGAGAGATAACTGCACCCTGGAGAGGATTGTGAAACAAAACCCATTCAAAAATGTGGGGGAGATTCACAAAGAGTGGACTGCAGCTGGAGTGAGTGCTTCAAGAACCACCACACACAGACGTATGAAAGACATGGGTTTCTGCTGTCACATTCCTTGTGTCAAGCCACTCTTGAACCACAGACAGCGTCAAAAGCGTCTTGCCTGGGCTAAAGAGAAACAGGACTGGACTGCTGGTGAGTGGTCCAAAGTCATGTTCTCTGATGAAAGTAAATTTTGCATTTCCTTTGGAAATCAAGGTCCCAGAGTCTGGAGGAAAAGAAGAGAGGCACTTCATCCACGTTGCTTGAAGTCCAGTGTAAAGTTTCCACAGTCAGTGATGGTTTGGGGTGCCATGTCATCTGCTGGTGTTGGTCCATTGTGTTTTCTGAGGTCCAGGGTCAACGCAGCCACATACCAGGAAGTTTTAGAGCACTTCATGCTTCCTGCAGCTGACCAACTTTTTGGAGATGCAGATTTCATTTTCCAACAGGACTTGGCACCTGCACACAGTGCCAAAGCTACCAGTACCTGGTTGAAGGACCATGGTATCCCTGTTCTTAATTGGCCAGCAAACTCTCCTGACCTTAACCCCATAGAAAATCTATGGGGTATTGTGAAGAAGAAGATGCAATACACCAGACCCAACAATTCAGAAGAGCTAAAAGCCACTATTAGAGCAACCTGGGCTATCATAACACCTGAGCAGTGCCACAGACTGATCGACTCCATGCCACGCCGCATTGCTGCAGTAATACAGGCCAAAGGAGGCCCAACTAAATACTGAGTGCTGTACATGCTCATACTTTTCATGTTCATACTTTTCAGTTGGCCAACATTTCTATAAATCCTTTGTTTTTATTGGTCTTCAGTAATATTCTAATTTTCTGATATGATGAATTTGAGATTTTCATTTGTTGTCATTTGTAATTATCAAAATTAAACAAAATAAACATCTGAAATATATGAGTTTGTATGTAATGTATGAATATAATATACAAGTTTCACTTTTTAAATGGAATTACTGAAATCAATCTACTTTTTCATGATATTCTAATTTTATGACCAGCACCTGTAGTGTGTAATCTAAAGAAAAAAAAACTAAAATGAAAAACATGGTTTAATTATATTTTGCTGCACCACTTTGAGCATGTCTGATTATGTCAGACAAGCAGTTTAATGGAGAAAATTTAAAAAGCATGAAAATTGTCTTTCGAAAATTCATAGTTTTAGAGAGTTAAGGATAGAAATGAGTAATTATAGTACCATAATGACATTATTTATGGAAACCAAGATGTATATCTGATTGCGCAAATGAGCTGACGGTACGTATCTTGCTTCAAAGACGGATTGGGTAGTGACAACCTCCTTTCCTGAATTTATTTAGAGTTGGAAGTTCCCATGCTGTTCACCGGATGCAACGTCCATTATATTGGTCTGACCTAGCACACAATTGAAGCATTATATAAAAGATTTTTTTTTTGTGGATACGACCAGCATTCACCTGAACTCAGACACCATTAGCAACTCGACATGAGGTAAAATAAATAAAAAATAATAATTAGCAGAAGAGTTCTGCAGTTCTGTGTTTTGAGCACAAGTGGCAATTTAATTAGAAAACTCTGTCATGCCTCTTTAAATTAAACTTTCAAAGACAACTCTAAATGAATCGTTTTTTTAACCTTGACTAACAAGAATTTGTGGTTTACCACCTGCACTGTCTTCTGGGAATTTATTTTGGATAAGTGGAGCATAAAAACTAGATCCTGATTCTCCATGTTTGGTTCTGGGTATGTAGAGTAGACTTTATTCAGAAGATCTGAGAGGTTTGGGCAGTTAATACACTGACAATGCATTTTGAAGTTAAACCGTTCAGGGATTTATAGACCAACTGGAGTATTTTTTAACTGCGGTGATGTGCTCCACTTTCTTAGTTTTGGTAAGGATATAGGCAGCAGCATTCTATTCTAGTATTAGCATATAATACAATAGAATCTCTATCTTCACCAGTGTTAATTTTGTCAGCTTTTTTTAATTTAGTCTTAGTAACAATGACAAAAATCAATTTCAGTCTTAGTCATATTTAGTCATTGCCTTCCCAATTTCATCTTAGTGTTATGATTTGTTTGGAGGTTTTTGTGACGACCCAAATGCAGAAGCTATGAGGCAGGGGTAAGTTCTTTGAAAATGTAATGAATGATCACAGGCAGCAAAAACAGGAATCCAAAAAATCCAACTGAAAAAATTCACACAAATCATGAGGAGCCAGGGTAAGACAAGGAACCAGCACTGAGGGACTGCACAGGGAGTGTATTTATGGCTGACTGAACAAAGGCAGGACTAACGAGCTGATAAGGAGCAGGTGTGAGTAGAGCTGACGAGGAAGCCAAGGGAAAAGAAAACACAAGGAGTCAACAGAGGACAAGCAAAGAAAAACCTAAGAAACTTAAAAAATAAATCCAGAACACCAATAAAGCTAGAAAACATGGAAAAACGTGAAACTGAAAACTTAGAGAAAACAAAGAGAACCAAGATTGTTACACTTAGTCTTAGTCTAAATAACGAAAATAAATTTTAGTCTAATTTTTGTCATTTTAGTCAACACTGTAAATAATAGAACTTCTCCACACACTGCTTCTCTTTTTCTCTATTTTATTTATATAACACTGCAGAATAGAACTTCACACACTGATTCTCACTTTAAATTATATCACACTGTACATATTGAACCTTTTGTCAGTTTGTTTCATCATATCCACAAAGTCTTCATCCTCAAACAGACTTCCCTTCCTTCCCCAACCTCTGATTTGGTTGTGGTGTCACTGTGTCAGGTGTCTAGTTGGGAGGAAGAGATTTAAATGATTAATATCCCGTGCATCAGTAAAACATCTTTCTTCTAGGACAGAGAGACAGACAGACACAGGCACAGGAAGGCACACACACATCCACATGCATGTGCGCCTGCGCACGCGCACATATACACGTTACTACTACTACAGTCCCACCTCTTCCTACTACTACAGGCCCACCCGTTCCTTAACTTCTTACATATAGCAACATTTTGGCACCTCAGATGTCACTTGAGATTCGCTTTCTACTGCCCTGCCATTTTGAAGTTGCAGACTCTTTGGTGGCGTCCTTCCTCCGGTGCTTTCCTTCGCGTCGTAAACGAAATGGCTCCATACATCCAGGCGTTGTTTTCGCCCAGCTCCTTCAACAAACCGTACATCAGTATCCGAGCCCTACGCAATGACTGCAAAGTTGAGCTAGGATTACAGGTGCTGGTCATAAAATTAGAATATCATGAAAAAGTAGATTGATTTCAGTAATTCCATTTAAAAAGTGAAACTTGTATATTATATTCATACATTACATACAAACTCATATATTTCAGATGTTTATTTTGTTTAATTTTGATGATTACAAATGACAACAAATGAAAATCTCAAATTCATCATATCAGAAAATTAGAATATTGTGAAAAGGTTCAAAATTGATGGCCCCTGGTGCCACACTCTAATCAGCTAATTAACTCAAACCACCTGCAAAAGCCTTTAAATGGTCTTTCAGTCTAGTTCTATAGGCTACACAATCATGGGGAAGACTGCTGACTTGACAGTTGTCCAAAAGACGACCATCGACACCTTGCACAAGGAGGGCAAGACACAAAAGGTCATCGCTAAAGAGGCTGGCTGTTCACAGAGCTCAGTGTCCAAGCACATTAATAGAGAGGCGAAGGGAAGGAAAAGATGTGGTCGAAAAAAGTGTACAAGCAAGAGAGATAACCGCACCCTGGAGAGGATTGTGAAACAAAACCCATTCAAAAATGTGGGGGAGATTCACAAAGAGTGGACTGCAGCTGGAGTGAGTGCTTCAAGAACCACCACACACAGACGTATGAAAGACATGGGTTTCTGCTGTCGCATTCCTTGTGTCAAGCCACTCTTGAACCACAGACAGCGTCAGAAGCGTCTTGCCTGGGCTAAAGAGAAACAGGACTGGACTGCTGGTGAGTGGTCCAAAGTCATGTTCTCTGATGAAAGTAAATTTTGCATTTCCTTTGGAAATCAAGGTCCCAGAGTCTGGAGGAAAAGAAGAGAGGCACTTCATCCACGTTGCTTGAAGTCCAGTGTAAAGTTTCCACAGTCAGTGATGGTTTGGGGTGCCATGTCATCTGCTGGTGTTGGTCCATTGTGTTTTCTGAGGTCCAGGGTCAACGCAGCCACATACCAGGAAGTTTTAGAGCACTTCATGCTTCCTGCAGCTGACCAACTTTTTGGAGATGCAGATTTCATTTTCCAACAGGACTTGGCACCTGCACACAGTGCCAAAGCTACCAGTACCTGGTTGAAGGACCATGGTATCCCTGTTCTTAATTGGCCAGCAAACTCTCCTGACCTTAACCCCATAGAAAATCTATGGGGTATTGTGAAGAAGAAGATGCAATACACCAGACCCAACAATTCAGAAGAGCTAAAAGCCACTATTAGAGCAACCTGGGCTATCATAACACCTGAGCAGTGCCACAGACTGATCGACTCCATGCCACGCCGCATTGCTGCAGTAATACAGGCCAAAGGAGGCCCAACTAAATACTGAGTGCTGTACATGCTCATACTTTTCATGTTCATACTTTTCAGTTGGCCAACATTTCTATAAATCCTTTGTTTTTATTGGTCTTCAGTAATATTCTAATTTTCTCATATGATGAATTTGAGATTTTCATTTGTTGTCATTTGTAATCATCAAAATTAAACAAAATAAACATCTGAAATATATGAGTTTGTATGTAATGTATGAATATAATATACAAGTTTCACTTTTTAAATGGAATTACTGAAATCAATCTACTTTTTCATGATATTCTAATTTTATGACCAGCACCTGTATAAGCCCTATGCTACTACTGACTGAGCAGTGTAAGGCATGTGGAACAGGCGCCATGTAGGGACAAACAGGGCAACAACGTGTAATATTCTATGAAGCTCAAGAAACACTTATATTAACAATTACAAATGAATTATAAACAATTACATTTCTTAATGTCCATTTGTCTGGCTCGTAAATTTCATCTGGTCTTAGTCCCTTTAACGAAAATAATTTTTTATTTTCGTCATATTTTTATTTTCTGGAAACAATTTTTGTGTGTTATCGTCTCTTCATCGTCACGGGAAAAAGGGGCGTTGACGAAATATTTTCGTCATTGTCCTGGTTGACGAAATTAACACTGATCGACACTGCACATCATGAAATTGTAGTGCTTCCCCATTTGGTGCATGATAAATATCGAATTTGTACTCGTACTCATTGTCTCCAACTTCACCTGGGATGGGGTCGCGGGCGCAGTAGTCTTAGTAGAGACCTCCAGACTTCCCTCTCCGCAGACACCTCCTCAAGCTCTGCCTCTCTCAAATGACTAAGCTCCTCACCCTATCTCTAAGTGAGAGCCCAGCCTGTCAAGGCTCAGAAAATAGGACCCAGAATTCAGGCAGACAGAACCAGTTTGTTTAAAAGTAAAATGCTTTATTGACTGCTCTGGATTGCGCAGCTCATCAGCTAGGACCGGCTTGCTGGATTCTCTGTAGAGATGGATACTCAGGTTAGAGACCACTAGTCTCAGACACGGAACATTAGCAAGCAAGCGAGTCACTAACCTGGTTCTTCTGTCCGTGTCCAGAGGAAGGATTGAGAACCAGTCGGATGACTTCTCCACAGCTTGTAGCAGAAGTCGCTCATAGAGTTCCGAGAGTGAGGCAGAGCAGACTGACAAGTGGAAGCCAGCAGATGCAGTTTTTAATCAAGAATTAAAAAGAACTGATAATCTTTTCCAGATCTATATTTCAACAAAGAGTTCTGTAAGTAATATATCAGGCTGAGTATAGCTAAAAACTTTATTATCCCTGTTAAGCTCCAGGGATAATCAGGCTTTTCTATCAACTAAGGGGTGTGTATAAATAGTGACAGGGTGTTTATTGTTAATTATTTCAATGAATTACATTATATATGTAATCCATTCTGCTTTAATTTACAATAGATTGAAAAATACTGGAGATTTAAAAATTATTCTGAAAATTAAGAATGTCTGTGCATTTTCATATCCAATTAATCATTAAATATTTGGCAGCCCTAAATATTTATTTTAATGTTTAATATCTTTACTTGAATAACCAAAATGGACAAGATAAAGGCTAAAAATCCAAAATTCAAAAGTTTAATTTTGCTGTTTTATTTAGATTATATTGTTATATATCACAAAAATCAAATATTTTAAAATGCATGAAGGCTGTAAAAAAAACATTATGAGCCAATTTTATTTTTAAAACAGACAGTGTGGTTCTGCAACTATGCCTCCAACTGATTATGCACCTTGGTTACTTAGCCAAGGGATATCCCTTTGGCTGAATATTCAGCATGCATGACTTTCAAATGGGAGTCTGTGGGATCTCCCACCCGGGGTTCCTGATGTGTACCTTGTCACAGCCTGTTCGGCAGGCTGTTCGGCAGAAGGCTGGTACTAGACATGGTACTATGGGACTACTTAACTACTACCTCCTAATAGAATGTGATTGGGGTTGTGCACAGGCTTTATAACAAGCACAGCATTGTGATGGGTTTCTCAGACTGTTTTGCAGAGAGATTGGTGCAGCCTGGGGTCTGCACAGCTGAACAGCTTCCTCTATTATGTATTTTTTACAGTATACGATTTTGGTATATGAAAGAAGTGACCTGGCTATCATCTGCAGAGGGTTAAAATCAAGGTAAGTGATTTAGGATTTGATAAATCTTAAGATCTTTTTCTCTTTAATAAATAACTTAATCTAGGAATTTTGTTGCAGCTACCATTTGTGATTTACATTTTCAAGGAGGACATCACTGCCAATATGACAGAAAATATAGAAATTAAAGTAAGTACTGCTGAAAATAATGAGCTCTTTGGAGGACATATCTATATATATTATATCTAAGCAAATACTCATTATTTTTTTATTTACACAAATTTCTGATTACAGTATCAACTTTAAAGTGAAATACATAAATAATCAAGGATTTTTGCAGTTACTTTTTTTTCTAAATCAAGACATTTTAGTAGAGCTCTGGAAAAAAAACATGTTTACCTTTTTCTATTCCAGAAGGAGGATCTACCACCTGATATTGAAGACTGGAGTAAATTTGATGTAAAGAAATGGGCTCTGTCACTGCAGAATGTAGATGACTCTCTTGCAGAACTGCTGTTTGAAGAAGAGATCTGTGGTTCCAGTCTTTTACTTTTAGACGAATCAAAACTTAAAGAAATTGGTGTGAAGCTTGGACCAGCTATGCATATTGTCCATGCCAGAGATGAGCTCATCAACTTCAAGAGAGTTGAGCCAACATGTTCCAGAAACCAGTCAACTGGAGAACCAACTAAACCATACCCATTTGGTAGATATCATGATGCTTTTAGATATCTAAAGGACAACATTCTTGCGGTCCCAGAATCAGGCCCCTTGAACCTCATAGAACCCTGTCATGAATTCAAAGGATTTTATAACACACAAGAGGATAAGAAAATGGAAAAATTTATCACTGAGGTCATTAGGTTTGCTGCTGCCTGCATGAATAGCCGCACTAATGGTACCATACATTTTGGAATAGGAGACAAGCCAGATTTTGTTCATGGTCAGGTGTTGGGAGTGGCTGTTGATGACAAAGAGGCATATGCAAAATCCCTAAAAGAAGCCATTGATGGTTACTTTGAACACAAGCACAAGGAAGATGCTCAAAAGTGCATTAAGCCTCCTCGTTTTGTTGAGGTCTTAAACAAAAACACTACGTCATCTTATGAATATGTGATTGAAGTGGACATTGTGCCTCAGTTTGCTATCTGTGGAGAAAAAACCTACCAAACGTATACCATAAAGAAAGCAAAGAAAATGACTAATGAGACCAAATCACAACAATCAAGACTTTTCTACATTCGTGATGGTGGTAGTTCCAGAGATCTTTTTGCCCCAACTACATCTTCCAAACCCATGGTTGAGTATAAGAAGTTTGTTGATGGAATACCACAACTATCACAGCTCCGCAAGGATGCAGAGGAGAAGCACTCCGAAGCAATAAAAAGCTCAACTCAAGGCTCAGAGTTAATGCACATGATAACGAGTGGAACTTTGTCATTGGATAAGTCCAATTTTGATTGCTACCTGGTCGTGACAAACAAATCTCATTCAAGCCATCTTGAAAATCTGGATTTTCTCACAGAGCTCGAACCTGTAGCTGTTCTAGACTTTGATTCTGAATCAAATGAAAATGGATTACTGAGTTACTATAAGCAGAATAACACGGTGAGTCCTCATTTACCAGCAAAATATAAAATAATGGGAAGTGTCAAAGAAACTGCGGTCAAATTGGAGTTACCTAATAACACCGGCTGGGTATTCTGCAATGGAGGTATTGAGGGAGAGAAACCCTCAGACATTAAACAGTGGTTAAAAGAGAAAGGGGCCTCTGTGCACGATGTGATTTCTTTCTTGTGCCGCAGAGATGTGCTTCCAGACAAGAGGTTCCTTGTCATTTTCTTACTTTTGTCAACAGTTAGTGAGAAAATGGACCCACTGGTTGAGACTTTCATAATGTTATTGCAGGAACTCAAAGCCACGGGTCAAATTCTCTGTATCTGTGATAATGAAAATGCATTTACTTCATGGAAGGATCTCATTTTTGCAAGGTGTGGGGAGGACATCTCTGACAGATGTATATATGAGCTCAGCTTTGCTGAAGTCAATGGAACCATTCGTAGTCTTTGGTCAGAAAACCGAAGAGCCATTCGGTTTCTACCTTGTGGGGGGGGGATTAAGGTGCCTCTGTTGAAAAAATCTGAGCGCAGCCTAAAAGCCTTAGAGGTCCTGTGTGTGAACCAGTGTGAAGGAGGAAATGAGGACAGAGTTGCCATTGAGGAGGACTTTTATAGAGGTGGAAATGTCTCATGGTGGAATTTCCATTTCTCTGAGCAGCCTGGATTAACCGCATTCATCAAACGGGACAAGTTTGATTACATTGTGGACACTAGTATACCAGATCTATGCTCACTAACAAAAGCTTGTGTGCTGCTCAATCTCATCCATTTGCCTGGGTGTGGTGGGACAACTTTGGCCAAGCATGTGTTGTGGGCTCTTCGTGACAGATTTCGCTGTGCTGTCCTCAAGAAAAAGTCTAACTTTGCTGATGTGGCTGAACAAGTGGTCCAACTTTTGATGTATGCCTATGATGAGCAAACACCAAGGATCCCTGTACTGCTAATGATAGATGACTTTGATGATATGGAGAATGTTAATGACTTACAGCAGGCCATTGAAAATGAGTGCATTGAGAAAGACATACAATCAGCTAAAGTCATTCTCCTCAACTGTATGAAATCAAAGTCATTTGAAGTGACAGAGACAACTCCTACCACTGTATTCATTGGGAACCGTCTCTCTGACAAGGAGCTGAAACTGTTTGAGGTGAAACTTGGAGAAATAGAAAAAGAACATCAGAACATTGAAACTTTTTATGGTTTCATGATAATGAAGGAAAACTTTAACCCAGAATATATTAAAGGGGTGGTCCAGAAAACTCTGAAAAACTTCAACATGGGGGAAAAGAATGCGCAACTATTTGCTGTTTTGGTTCTGTTGAAAGTTTACTGTAATGGCTCCTCTATCTCCTTATCTCTATGTATGGATTTTCTGGACCATCCAAAACCTGTTTGTGGAGATGTTTGGATTGATGATATCTTTCAGGAATATTCCAGTTTCATTTCTAGCTGCTTCGATCAAGACATAGTTGTTTACAAAGCTGTGAAAATAACATACTCAGTCATTGCAAAGCAATGTTTGGAGGAAATCAAAAATACACACAATGTGACAACAGCAAAAATTGCCAACTTTCTTTTGACCACAGACCAGCTTTATGAGCATACCCAAGGTAGAGACAATCTCTTTCAAGATGTTTATCATATTTTAGTTAAAAGGTTTCCTTCATTTGACGAAGATTCTCGGTTCTCTCCTCTCATCCAACAAGTGGCTAGAGAAACACCAGGGCAGGAAGAGATAGTGCTAGCAAATGCAACAAAAAGATTTGACAATGATGCTATTGTCTGTCAGTTGTTAGCCAGATACTACTATTTGAAAAAGAAGGATTTTTTGGTTGCAAAGGATTGGGCAAATAAAGCAATGGAACTTTCCAAGGACTCCTATATGGCAGACACTGCAGCACAGGTTATTAAGCATCAGCTAAAGAGTGAAATTTCAGAGTGCAAAGAAGATCCCATCAGCCCAGAGAAATTGTTAAGTTCCCTCAAATTGGCCCAGTCTGCAATGGTAGCATTTAGGGAAACACAAGACCTTGCTAAGAGGGAGTCTTTTGAGCGATTACAAATCAAAAGAAATAACTGCCCTTTCAACACTTCAGGATGTCTTGGAGAAATCCAGGTTGGAGTTTTTGTTATACACTTATTACAGAAAACTGTGTTTTCCTCTGATGGTATTCGACATGACATAATGAGCCAGTTTCTATCTGGAAATATTTCACTGAGTAAGATGGAGAAAAGTGATCGCCAGGGCATTAAATACAAAGAGTATTATCATATTCTTAGAGGGTTTGAGAACATGCTTTCCATTCTCAAACAAAGAATGAAGTGGAACTTTGACTACCTTGATAGAGGTCATGTGAATCTCGGGACCGTGATTGGAATAAAGAATCCCCGTGAGAAGGTAACCCAAACTGAAATTGCTAGGTGTTTCGAAACGTATTCAAATGTTTTCTGCAAGACAGAATCTGAAAATGATTTGAAAAAGCAACATTTTAACCTTGACCTTCACCTGGCAAGACAGTTCCTTGAGAAGGAAAAAGCTGATACCTTCTCTGGAATTTTGGATTGTCTCACAAAGGAAATCACAACTGAAAAGATAGAAGAAATTGTTCGTCAACACAATTTTATTTGCCTACCTAAGCACAAACCAAAAATAATAGAAAGAATCAATATGATCTATGCAAACGTTGTGTTGGGCTGTATTAAACCAGAATCAGATGTTCTGTTATACCAAGACCTGCTTATTGTCCTTTCTGAACTTCTGCGTGAAAAACACACAGAGGAAGAGTATTTCTCACTGCTCTTCCTTGCAGTTGTGCTATTATGGCCGTCACCAGAACATGAACTGTGTATCCAGCTTGGGACTTACATCTCACAGCTGAAAGTGTCCTATTTTGAGCAGATGAAGGAAGTCTTCAATGGAAAGCGTCCAATTGTCCATTTCCTGTTGGGGACTAAGAGCAGCTACATGAGACTCGTGCAAATAAAAGCAATCCAAAGTTGTGTCACAGGTTCAGAGGAACGGTTTGCTTCCCTTTGGGGAAATGGCCAAATATTTAGAAAACAGGAAGTGAGAAAGTTACTTCAAAGGTTCACTGGTCAGGTGAGGGGGAAAAAGAAGATAATGGTAGATACTTGTTTCCTGGATCAGAAGCTGGAAGTCATCCCATTGTTTCAGAGTCAGATTACTGGACTTCAGCATGGATCAAAGGTGTCATTTTTTATTGGGTTCTCCATGAAAGGCCCTCTTGCACTGGACATTGAGAGGTTCTAAAAGGCCTCCTTGGACTCATTCTCTTTAGTGTTTATTACTCTCTTTACAAAGAAAGAAAAGACATTTAATAAATCAGAACAGTAATAGGACCACACCATTTCCGATTATTCTGAACCCCTATGGATGATTGCATTTGTATTGACCTTTTAAATGGGTTTTCAAGGGGCATAATTTTATTTTATGAAATTTCCTATTTTTATCATAGTAGCTCGGTGTGGTTGCACAGTTTTTGATGAAATATTACTCATATTTTATTTTGTTTATTTAAGCTTTGTTTTTGCTCAATGTATTAGTAGATAAATTCCTTCTGTGTATTTACCATAATAATAATAAATTGTGAACCTAAGTATGAAATAGTGCATGTGCGCAATGCGTAAACTAGGTAGTAATGGGTCAGCAAGTCACAGCCGAGGTGTAAAAAAAGAAAGAAGTCCTAGATTCAGTGTGAAAAAGCACAAAAAAATATTTGATTTCAAGAGGGATATTAAATAATTTTAAAAATGTCTTATTTTATTGGTTGTTTTTTGTTTTTTTTTTATGTACAAAGTGCATGTATCTGAAACCTTTGTTTTAACATGTCTTATTATGCTTTTCACTATTATGGTGTTTTTAATATCCTAATGAGTTTCTTACATTTTTTTTTCAAACTCAACATTAAATGATTAGAGATTTTTTTTTTGTGTGCAAATATTAACATTTGGATGATAATCACAATTATATATGTTAATTTTTTATTTTTTTTATTTTTTATTTATCCTTTATTTAACCAGGTAATACCCATTGAGATTAAAAATCTCTTTTGCAAGGGAGACCTGGCAAAACCTTTGCAAAATTTAATGCAAACAAGAAGGTAAATCTTTTCTGGTCCTTTGGAAATAATAAAGAGTGTTTAATTGTTGTTGTTGTTGTTGTGCTACTTTAATACATTTATTGCCCACCCCGCTAGGGTTATGGTTAATAAATATCTTATTTAAACAGATATTATTCAAAAATTTTTCTTGCAGAATTTGAGATGTGATCAAATTAGCTTTTTACTAATTTAGAGCTATTGGAATGTTTTCCAACCAATCCACAATGCAAATCCATGAGCTGATTAAAACATTATTTGGTCAATTAAGGTTTTATTAAATTATTTGCTTAAGCAGGAACCAATAACTTTTAGTTAAAATGATTCTTTACCCTCTTTGAAATAGCTAGCAGCGAATAGACATGAGTGTTAGGTTTATTCAATGATGATTATAAAATTAATGTGTGTACATATGAAACATTGAGAAATGAGATGCTTCACTCTGTCTTATGATTCAATCAGAAGACCACTCTGTCTTGTGATTCAGTCAAGAGGAGAGCTCTGTCTTGTGATTCAATCAGTGCAGCATCCTGTCTTATAACCTGATCAATTGTCCTGTCAGAAGAATACTGTTTTGTAACTCACCCTCTGTGTTATGTTCTGTTAATAAAAGGCACTGCAGAAGGAAAGGGGTCCGGGAGAGAGAGTTTGAAAGTTGGGTTTGGCTCTTTCCCCTTCTGCAGAAGCTGTTGAAAATCCCTTTCTGTGTGGATTCAGTCCCTCTTTTACGAACCTACATTTTTTAACCTAACAATGAGGATGTCATTAGATGACCTATGGTCATAATTTGATAATTGAAATGTTATGAGCATATGAGAAAACACATGAACATGTTTTATCAGTGTTAGTGAAATAAAGCTTGTTTTGGCTTATAAAGAAAACAGCTGAAGAGATCAAAATCATCAAAAGACATATTGTTTAACTACAAACTGTCCCTATCTTTGCCAGACCTTATACTTCTGCCCATGTCCGTTTTGGAATGTTTGAGTTTCCTCCAGCAGTTAGAAGCTTAGCACGGCAGGCTCACGGCTAAGGAGGTTTCCTTTGTCCCACGTGGCTCACATCAAGGGAAAGGCTCCCTTAGCAGGCTTTCACCTCCAGTCCAGTGTTCTGTCAGATGAGCATACCCGGTCAGACCAGCATACCATAGTCAATACCTCTTTATCTCTTTAGCTTATCCCTCTAATTTGTCTCTTTAGTTTTGTACGAATAATACACTTTAAACCACTTCAACAGGTGTACAGGTGCTGGTCATAAAATTAGAATATCATGAAAAAGTAGATTGATTTCAGTAATTCCATTTAAAAAGTGAAACTTGTATATTATATTCATACATTACATACAAACTCATATATTTCAGATGTTTATTTTGTTTAATTTTGATGATTACAAATGACAACAAATGAAAATCTGAAATTCATCATATCAGAAAATTAGAATATTACTGAAGACCAATAAAAACAAAGGATTTATAGAAATGTTGGCCAACTGAAAAGTATGAACATGAAAAGTATGAGCATGTACAGCACTCAGTATTTAGTTGGGCCTCCTTTGGCCTGTATTACTGCAGCAATGCGGCGTGGCATGGAGTCGATCAGTCTGTGGCACTGCTCAGGTGTTATGATAGCCCAGGTTGCTCTAATAGTGGCTTTTAGCTCTTCTGAATTGTTGGGTCTGGTGTATTGCATCTTCTTCTTCACAATACCCCATAGATTTTCTATGGGGTTAAGGTCAGGAGAGTTTGCTGGCCAATTAAGAACAGGGATACCATGGTCCTTCAACCAGGTACTGGTAGCTTTGGCACTGTGTGCAGGTGCCAAGTCCTGTTGGAAAATGAAATCTGCATCTCCAAAAAGTTGGTCAGCTGCAGGAAGCATGAAGTGCTCTAAAACTTCCTGGTATGTGGCTGCGTTGACCCTGGACCTCAGAAAACACAATGGACCAACACCAGCAGATGACATGGCACCCCAAACCATCACTGACTGTGGAAACTTTACACTGGACTTCAAGCAACGTGGATGAAGTGCCTCTCTTCTTTTCCTCCAGACTCTGGGACCTTGATTTCCAAAGGAAATGCAAAATTTACTTTCATCAGAGAACATGACTTTGGACCACTCACCAGCAGTCCAGTCCTGTTTCTCTTTAGCCCAGGCAAGACGCTTCTGACGCTGTCTGTGGTTCAAGAGTGGCTTGACACAAGGAATGCGACAGCAGAAATCCATGTCTTTCATACGTCTGTGTGTGGTGGTTCTTGAAGCACTCACTCCAGCTGCAGTCCACTCTTTGTGAATCTCCCCCACATTTTTGAATGGGTTTTGTTTCACAATCCTCTCCAGGGTGCGGTTATCTCTCTTGCTTGTACACTTTTTTCGACCACATCTTTTCCTTCCCTTCGCCTCTCTATTAATGTGCTTGGACACTGAGCTCTGTGAACAGCCAGCCTCTTTAGCGATGACCTTTTGTGTCTTGCCCTCCTTGTGCAAGGTGTCGATGGTCGTCTTTTGGACAACTGTCAAGTCAGCAGTCTTCCCCATGATTGTGTAGCCTATAGAACTAGACTGAAAGACCATTTAAAGGCTTTTGCAGGTGGTTTGAGTTAATTAGCTGATTAGAGTGTGGCACCAGGGGCCATCAATTTTGAACCTTTTCACAATATTCTAATTTTCTGATATGATGAATTTGAGATTTTCATTTGTTGTCATTTGTAATCATCAAAATTAAACAAAATAAACATCTGAAATATATGAGTTTGTATGTAATGTATGAATATAATATACAAGTTTCACTTTTTAAATGGAATTACTGAAATCAATCTACTTTTTCATGATATTCTAATTTTATGACCAGCACCTGTATGGCAATCTGACCTTAAATTTTTTTTTGTACGTGACTAAAGGGATGCACTCCTGTCGAGGTAGTTTAACGCATTTTTTTTTTTAGTACAAAACTTTAGGGATAAATGCAAATCTGACGTATTGGGTATTGACTACAGCTATGCAGGTCTGATGGGTATGGTGATCTGACAGAACACTGACTCTGTTAGTTCTAAAACTCAGAGAAAAACAGTCTGTTTTGCAGCAAGTTGATTCCGAAGTATCAACCATCATGACTTGGCCTTGGTCATTCTGGAGATCTGGGCCTTGAGCCTTGAAAAAGATGTGTGCGTGTGTATATATGAAGTACTGCATACTACTTGGATGTAATATAAATTGCCATTATGGCTTTGTCAAACTGCTGCCTACAGGAAGCAGGAAAAAGACTAATACAAAGAGAATCCAGTAGAACTTTTTATTGCCTACCTGGAATAGGTGACAATAGTTGAATACACTTTTGGCTCTCAAAATGTTATCGGTGCCTTATTTGTTGGTACTTGCCGATACCGATACCACCATTTTAGTGCTGGATCAGTGCAACACTAATTTATATATATATATATATATATATATATATATATATATATATATATATATATATATATATATATATATATATATATATATATATATATATAAACAGGGTCAATTATGTAGTTCTGACCGTAGACCGTATTGGATTGTTTATCCCTAATAAACAGTTTTCAGTTTTCTACCAATTACTGATACAAACATCTATGACTCCAAACAAAGGCTCCCAGACCTTTATAGGAGAAAAAAACCCAAAGCATTATTTCTTCATACAGCTTCAGAGTGGGCATAAGGACTATTTACTTTTATTCCATTGTCTACAAACAAAAACACCTAGCAAACCTAAGATAAAGTCTCCCTTAAAGATTTAAGGTTTCAGCAGAATTTAACAAACTCTGCATGTTTATATTTGTGATCCTAGCAAAAAACCCAGAGAAATAATAGTGGAAAAGACATAACAACCCAGCACTCTGTGGTGAGTTTTATAACAAGTCTCGGTTGAAACATCATACAAACAGAAATTCCTGGAGCATCTAAATTATCCTTATTCTAGTCAATTTATTGTAAGTCTTTGTGTTTTTTTTTAAATTAGGAATAAATGTCTCTGTGAAAGATTGATGGAAACAAACTAACTGAAGTAGTGTAGAGATTATAGTGTTGTTAAATATTTTTTACCTGCCTTATGACAGCAGATTAAAATTAGCCCTGGCACTAACTCTGGAATATTTATGTTGAAGCATTTGCTGACATATTGAATAATGTCTACCTTTATAATGAACATAAAATAAATGAAATAAAACAAAAAAATCAATTATGTAGAAACTGAGTGGTTATTCTTTTTGTGCCCGACTGACAGACCTTACGGTGAAATGCAACCAAAATCCAAAGTAAACAGAAAAAGTCTTGTTTCTCTCTCAGATCCACTCTAAGGGAAGGTCTTGATTACTGCAGGAGGGTTCAGAGGACTGATGGATCATAGGAAGGTTGAGCCATGACTTGTAGTTTTAGCCCCTAACAAATAACCAGCAGCTCTTTATTCAGTGTTCTGGTCGTTCCTCAGATCCTGGAGAGTTTGCTTCCCATGCGGGACGTGGTTTTGCCTGGAAGCCTTTGCTTGCATGGGTCACACCTATAGGAGCAAGTATGATGGATAAATCCATACATCTGCTGCTTTTTAAGAAGATCCTGACCAACAGGCCATTGAGAGAGGAGTTCAGAACTGTTTAAAACTGATGTTCCACAGAAATAAACACATCTCCCAGCAGTCTATTTATTTTTATTTCAAGGGGAGTGATGGCCTAGTGGTTAGAGCATAGAGATTGGAACTCCGAGTTCAAGCCCCACTCCCACAGACTGCCACTCTGGATCTCTGAGTTAAACGCAGAGGTAAATTTCTCCAATGTGAGATCAATAAAGTTCAATTATTATTAGCCTTAAACTGTCCAATCAAATCCCTCCTTGCATTTAAAAGGTCACAAGTCCTCATCAATGAACTGATGAAAGAACAAATTGAATGTTTACATAAAAATATTTCTTTATTCAATATTTGCACAAAATGAAAAACAAAACCTCTTCAGTACTTTAATAAAACATTACATTGGTCTAATAAAAGAAACGATGCTGACTTTGACTAAAAAGGCACTAAACCAAATTAAAATGAACACAGTATTGGTTAAAAACCAGATTTTATTTCTTCAGAGGGTGCCATCTAAAAACCTAAAAAAATCTTCAGTCATCCACAATGCTCAGCAACCCGCTCAGCTTGAACCTCCAGGCCAGCTCCTCTTCTCTGCTCGCCAGAACCTGACGCTCCAAATCCTTCAGTCTCTGAGCCAGAGGAACACGAGGCGGTTTGGACCAGGAAGGCCTGTCCACATGCTCATCCAGCTCAGGTCTCTGAAGGTCCTGATAAAGACAAACGAAACAGGAAAAAGAGGAAAGATGTTGAGAAGAAGGATCCATTAAACGGCTTATAAAGGATTTATAAAAAAAGAGGAAACCTGTGTCGCTGCTGCAGCTTCCCTCCTGCCTGAGGGAGAAGCTTTCATGGTGGGTGAGGAGAGCAGGGTAGAGGACGGGATGAAGAGCGGAGTGGACAGCTGGTCCAACGGGTCACCATCCAGCCAGCGCTGCAGCTGCTCCAAGCTCCTGCACAGAGGGAGCGGTACAATGACACCAGATAACTGCAAAACAGTTCTAGAGAATCTGATCCAGATTTCTGGATGATCACTTTTCTGATCCAGATGTTTTTAGAAGTTTGGAGCATTTCAGTTCTGATACAGATATTTACTCAGAGATAGGGCTGGGTACCGAACTTCGGTTCTTTTATGGTACCGACCGAAATGCTTCGGTTCTACAGAGTATCGAAACATGCCTCGTCTTGCGGTACCAAGTTTCGGTGATTGGCTGTAACACTTAACGTGATTGCGTCATCCAGGAAAAATACACAGGTGGTCTGAAGCAGATACACATGAAGCCTACAGCCAGGCTTCATGTGTATCTGTGGTGAACTGGTTGCAGCGTCGCGGAACCCCTTTAAAATGCCCCCCCAGGTCAAAAGTGCTGCTTCACTTTATTAAGTCTGATGCCAATAGTGTGCAATGCAATACAACGGAAACAATTTAAGAGCAGAAAGTTGCTTGGTGTTTGACTGCAAGAAGAGCGGACCGCAGCCGGTGCAACCATCCTCCTCTCAGCAGCCCGTGGGCAGAGCAAAGCCAGAGCGGAGTGAATCATGCTGCTTTCAAACTGGACGCAGCAGGAGCAGCAAAATCACGTCTGCTGCTTCCTTTTTTGCTGCTTGTACCAGTTTAGTTCTGACGCACGGCTGAAGCAGCTTTGCTGCTCTGGCTGCGCGGTGCAAAAGTGGCTCTGACGCGCGTTGGGCGGAGCTACTCTATCCTTTATTTGCCTTGCAGCTATATTTGCTGTGATCAGTGGGAATAAAGTAGTTTTATTATGTTTTTAAGTGGGAAAATCCACCTGAAAACTTAATCAGTGCAGTCAGTTCATCCTGCCTTCCAATATTTCTGTCGGAGCCGCTCAGACCCCCACATACCAGCGGTGCGCTGTCAATAGGATTCCCATTCAACGGGCTTGTTTGTCAGACATGGTAATTTTTCTAAAGGAAAACTGCTAAGTAAAAAGGTCCTCACAATGTAACAGTGAATATTAGACACTGAATTATTATTTTTTTTTATGTAAGAGGAAAAATGTAAATGGAAAAATCAGAGCTTAAATAAAACTCAAGATTTGTACTTTTTTATGTTGTGTAATTTTCTTTTTCTTCGAATTGATATTATAAAACTGGTATCGAAAAAAGTATCGTTCAGGAACCGGTATCGAAGTGAGGGTATCGGTATTGGTACCGGAACCGAAAATTTTTGAACAATACCCAGCCCTACTCAGAGATCACCACAATCTCAATAAACCCAAACAGAACAAGGGAGGTTCTGTTGAGATAAGGTGCATTTTCCCAGGTAGGATCTTTTTTAAAGACCAAGAGTGGTGGAAAGTTCATCTATAGCTATATAGGAGCATTAGGGAGGAGCTGAGGGATGGATGGTGCTCCAGGAGACCAAGTTCCCTGAATCCACAGGTTTACCAATACAAACAGGAATTAATTGACCAAAAAGCCTCTAAACATTTTTTTTTTTGCAATTTCCAAGTCTAAAAAACAACATAAAACTAAGAAAACTAACCTGAAGCTTCCTATAACATTTCCAGGTCAGATTCCTGTTTTTTGCCCAATGGTTCCTAAAACAGCATCAGGGCCTGAAGTTGGCTTTGGATTTGTTATTGTGACAAAGGGCTTATGGACCGACCGAAACACTTAGAGACTGAAAATTAACCTGGCTTTTTTTCTCCCACACTTTTTACATCACTGCTGCACTTTATGGAATGGAAATGTTCAATTACTGTCTGTAAAGCTGTACTAAATGAAATTTTGTTTTGTATACACTCTGCGTATATAAAATGACAATAAATGTTGTCTAAGTCTAAGTTTGATCCAACATTGAATACAGATTACTTTAATCACATTTTAGGTGAGTGAAATCTTCATTCTATTCAGAATAAAAAAAAAAAAAAAAAAACTTTCACTGATTTTAGGATCAAACCGGTCCCAGTTTCAGAGCCACAGGGCCAGTCTAAGGCTTAATTGCAAAGGTTAAACAAAGGTTTGAAATTGTAAAATTGTTTTTAATCTGAACTTTCTGTTAGTGAGGATAATTCAATTCAACTCAGAAATGTTGGACTGATCCCAAAGGGAAATGAAATAATTTTTATGATTACATTAATAAAATGAATGAAACCAGCAGATTATTTAAGGTCATTTTCCGCACATCCAGCATCAGTCACTGATCTGTACCTCTTGCTTTCAACCTTTTCTTCCTCCAAGCTCTGAAGGACTTTGTGGGCCAGCAGCTCCTCTGCTGTGGGTGTGTGTGTGATGTCCAGAGGGGCCCTCGGTGTCTCAGGGGCCTCCACCAAGCTGCAGAACAACTTCTGTCTGAAGAAAGGAGCAGGAGGCGGAGTGCAGGAAGGCTGAGTCACTCTGAGTCAGAGCAGGAGGGGAGAAATAAAGAAACAGATACAAACTTTTAACACATTTCAATTAAAAAAATTGCAATTGAACAGATTTTTTTTATAGGAAAATGATCCAAAGACTGTAAAAGTTTTACTCCAGTTCTTTTGGCTAAATAGAAAAAAACAAGAGCTTTCTTTTTATTCAGACAACTTTATTAAATCAATTTAGAGCATATTTGGATGCACTAAAGTCTCTGCCTATACAGTTCATTTCTTTAGTAATTTTGCCCTAATTTAAATAAAAAGTCTCGTTCTGCATCAACCAGCTGTGCCCAGGGACCAAATTTCTCCTTCTTTAACAGCGGTCGGGGTTATCTCTAAACCCGCCCAGAATGGCCCTGACCCAAGAGATCTGGCAGATCGATGGAAGGTTTCTATCTGGACGTCATGTACTGTAACTATGCAGGCACGACGGTCAGGACATCTGAAAATCTGGACCAGAGCCCCCTTATCATCCTCATCCCCTTTTCTAAATCGACCAAATATAAAACTACCACTTGTGACGAAGGTATTTAAGGAGCAAAGAACATCTCAGACATGTTTCTCCTTCTCTAACAAACCTTAATGCTTCTGGAAATATTTTATTGAAAGCCTTAATCTGAATAAATGCTAATGAAGTGGATCCATGCGGCTTCCTCACCGGTCTCTCTCCAGCTGTTTCTCTAGGTGGGTTTTTTCCACGGCCTGCGCCCACTCTGCAGGAGGTCTGAAACCCTCTAGGGAACCTGTGGGGAAGTAAACCAGGATCTCCCCATCCTCCGTCACTGCGTCTTTAAAAAAAAAGGGAGGAAAAACATCAGAACAAGTGATTAAACCTCCTGATCTTTGTATATAACTGTCAGCAGCTGGGAAGCTACAGAGAGGAAATAAACTACATCCTAGAAGGAGGGAGAAATAGATGAAAGGAGAGTCAGATAGGGACCAATTGGTGTATTATTACAGGGTTTTTACAGGAATGAGTAAGCCTAATTTGATGCTTTTTAATGCTTTTAGAAAAAATTTTGATGCCATCAACAAGTAGCTTTTTCTCCGCCTCGAGCTTCTTTTCCAAACATGCGGCCTGACGATCAACCGGAAGCACTTCCACGCAAACATGCGGAATCAGTTATATCTGATGGAATTGTTTACAGAAACAAATTTTTTTAAGCATTTTAAATGCAGCAAAATTTACATTTAATAAATTTTAATGCCAATGAAGGTCTTCATTTAAAAAATAAAAATTTAGTGACTTATAATGTTTTTTAATGGGCCGCGGAAACCCTGTATTAAGGACTGGATGCAAGTTAAATCCAACAGACCTGAAGGTCTATATATTTATTAAGGTCCCTTTATCAGAAAGCAGGGAAGTTTAGATTTCTAGAGGAAAGTGATTAAGAGGTAAGAAGGGGTTCAGGACCGGTCTAGTCTGCATGTTTGGGTTTTTACCTGGACAGGCAGGAGGTCCGGGCGGATGCCAGTCTTTCAGTTTGTGGTCGATGAAGATCAGCACAACATCATCCCATGGAATCAGTCTGAATGCTGAGCAAACCCTCGACTCTTCCAGGTCCATATTTCCACCAGTTAGCCTCGATCTGTTGGGTTGGGGGAGTTGAGCCTTTAATCTGACCTTTTCCAGAAGGTTCTCCAGTCGCGACATGAGGAGCGGCTGACTGTGACGGGAAGCTGGGATCTTAGAAGCGTAACGAAAGATGGAGGAGCAGATGTCTGACCAGGAGTCTGAGTGGAAAGAAAGAGGGACGGACTAAATAACCTTAAATCACTTATTCTGTGTTTTTAGTTCTAAACTTTATTGCTCTCCTACCTGCAGCAGGTATTTCCTCCCACTCCGGCAGCAGCAGGCTGAGGATAACCGCACGGAGCCATGAAAGATGCTGCTCAGAGTTCCAGCCCAGATAAGGGATAAACTCTCTGGTTTCAGGCTGGCTGAACTCGGCAGGAGGCCAGGAAAGGTCAGAGAGATTCCTGGAGCAGACTCTATCAGCAACATGAGCCAGGACGGCGTTATACAGATGGACGACGGGCGCCGCCTCCTGCCAGGGAAGCTTCACGGCGGCACGATTCTGCCGGTTGGAGTAAACTCTGGGACAGAACTCTTGACTCAAACTGGCCTCGATGAGCTGCACCAGGGTCCGACAGGACAGAGGGGGGGCGGGTGGCGAGCGGCCCAGGAGCCAGCGGACGGCCTGGGTCAGCTACAGATGGAGAGATAAAGTTGTCGATGACAATGATCAAGATTCATGCCTTAAAATTAATAAATGAATGACTTTTTAAACTGATTCAAATGTATTTTAAGTTTTTAAAGCTTTAAACAGAAAAATAAATAAGGCTGAGAATCACTTACAGTCAACGCAAATGTCAATGATTGGAGATAGATACACCAATATCAATAGAAATAGAAATATCACTGAAGAAAGTGCTAAATACAAAAAAGGTGGCAGGAGTTTATTAATTTTAGTTATTTTTTAAATCAAAATTCAGTTATTTCAGCTTCTAAGAAGAGATTACAGATACTTGAAATCGCTTAAATTGTAGATTAATGAAAGCAAGCAAAAGTAGAAGAACTTCTGTTCTCTCAGAACTAGTTTGTTAGCAACAGTCAGCCTTAATTTAAAAACTGCTGAAATACTTCCGTTTAAGACACTTTTCAAAGAGCTTAAAGTTGTATTTGTGTTTTACCTGCTCGGATCCCTGCAGGTCACTGGTTGAATCTGGTATGAAGACGAGCAGGAACTCAGAGATGAGCTCTTCTTTAATCAGAGCGTGAAGCTTCAGGGCTGAGAGACCAGAGAGCATCAGACGTTATTACAGCATCCTTCTACCAAGTTAAACAAGTGCTGAATACGTAACAAAGAGTTAATAAAGGGTTGACATACATGCATGGGTTAATGTATGAATTAAGTGTCTTTACCCTTAACTTGAGTAGGTAAATGAGATAGTTTCCAAATGGAATGAGTATTTTTACTCTTAAAATAAGATAATTAGATAACATGCACTTGAAATAAGACAATCCAATTGTGTTTTCTTATTTCAAATCTAGATTGTCTTGTTCCATTGGCAAAATGTCTCTTTTACTTCCTTAATCCAAGAACAAATGCATTTATTTTAAGAAAAAATAACTTTTTTCCAACGGATTTTGATTTTTTCCAAGTGTGGATGTGACGATAAATGTTGGTTGTGAGGATGTATGTTGGTTGGTTAATTGGACAGATGTATAGATAGTTAGAAAGAGGGCTGGTTGGATTTCTTTTCCAGTCACCTTCCTCTAGTCTCTGGGCGTCAGCATCACTATGGGGCCAGGGTACCAAGATGACCAGAGGCAGCGGGCAGTTCCAGCTGTTGATCTGCTGCAGCTGTTTGAGCTGAAGCAGAGCAGAGAGCAGAGGAACGTCCTGCTCTTCCTGCTCCGGCTCCACGAGGGGCTGCCCAGGAAGCAGCATGATGATGGCTCTGGTGCCATGCAGCTCACAGAATTCCTCCGCTCCAGAAAGGCCGGCTGTCGTCAGAGGACCTCTGGAAGCCTGGAAGACACAGCAGAACGCTGCTCAGTCTAACGGGATTAAAGTAACCTCCTCAGAAGGTGAAATTGTGTTTTATTGAGACATTTATCTTTGGAATCAAATCAAATTTAAAAATAATAAAGAATCTTTTTTTATTGAGTCTAATAAGCCCAGAAATGTGTAAATCTCCACCTTTAAGCTCTTCTACAACTTGAGCGTCATGTTTTCATCTAACCTTGACTGTAATGTGGACTTTATAAGTTCCCTCTCCCTTTTCCTGCAGACTGTTGGAGACGCACAGCGTCTTCAGGCTCCCGTCTGTCTCCTCCTCCTCCTCACATTCTGGATCACGCCCCAGTTTCACCTCCAGCCAATCTGAAAGGATCCTATAAAAAAGACACGGGGAACAATCAGACACATTAAAGAGACGTTTCAAACAAATGTCTGTTTTATCATAAAAAATAAAAACACCATGGAGCTCTTATACATTAAAATACCAGCAAATTGTTTGCATTTTTCTTTTCCAAGTCTACATAACATTTTAATTTAACAAAGAAACCTCTGAGTAACTTTCTAAACCCAAACTTAATCTTCTCCATATTTAACTAGAATCCATTAAACCATCCCTAAACAGAAACACGGTGGCAGCATAATCAACCTTTCAAATTCAGACACTTCTGCCCACGATTCTGCACAATAAACATTGTCTACTGCAGCAAAAGGATTTTATTAACCATGCATTAAATAAAAAGCTGACAACGTTTGTCAAAACTGTGTCAATTTTTTTTTTTATGAATGGAGGAAGAAAAGGCAATTATGGCTCCAAAAATCAGCCAAAACTAAAACATTGGCAAAATACATTGGGGGGGAAAAATATCGGCCTTTGAAAACCTGTATCTTTTGACCTTTTTAGAGATCTGATCCATGCTGTTGCTTGTTTTAGCAGATATTGAATAAAAAATATAAGAACCATGAATTACAATAGAAGGGTTTTGGTTGAATCATTTATTAAAATGACCTAGTCAGTCCAGAACAACTGAGAATCTATTGCAAGACTTAAAAACTAACTTTTATGCAGGAATTCCTTTCTGCAGAAATAAACTTCAAAGGGGGTTCTTCTAATTATTATAAGGTTCATGTTTTATCTTGTTGTATCTAAAGTAAAAGCAATCCTAATATTCACTATTTACTTTGTTTAATGAAAAGTGGTTTTTGAGCTGCTCTATCATTTTCTTTCAATCTAAAGAGTGGCTTGGCTTTATTTGCTTTGATGGGGAGGAAAAACATTGTTTAAACATGTTATTTAAGGGAGCAAGTCCACCTTAAAACTTCCTCTGTGCAGTCAGTTCATCAGGATCATAACCCTACTAAAATATTCTGTTCTGTTCAGAGTGGCGCAGTGTCGGAAATCATCCCGGTACCATTGAAAGTGAATATAAAACCTTTCTAATGTTTGTGGTAAAATCTGCGAACACCAGAACATAAGATTGAATATTTCCCACATGCAGGTTTGAACCTTTTTGTTAATGAAGGCGTTTCTAAATAGCGTTTTCTTTGTTCATAAAAAAAGATTATTGTGGCTTTTTAAAAACACGCAGAAAGATTAAAAACATGCAGCATTACAGGGCTCTGTGTGGAAAACATTGCCCAAAGCATAATTTCTTCTGACTGACTGACCCTCTGACTCAGCTGCAAATATAAAAGCTTCAAAGACAAAAGGTTGATGAACTGTAACCCTGATATATTCCATCCAAATCCAGTCAAAGTAATCTGATAATTCATAAAACAGAATCGGTTTGTGAAATAAAGAAGTTTTCCATTCAGAGAAAAAAAGAATAAAAGTCTGTGATGCTCACCTGTCTGCTGGGCTAACCTTGCATTCCTGATCGCTGGGTAAGAGCAGCAGAGCTTTCCAGAAGATCCTGTCAATGGAGGCTGGAGCGTTTTCTGTAGCCAGAGCTGGTAGATCCAGAGGCTTCCAGGACTTCTCCCTGAAACAAACAGAACCAGTTTAAAGTGCTGCTTTAGGATATGAACCACTATCTGAATAAAGTCAGGACTTACTCAAGCAGCTGCTGATAGTAGAAATGGACTCTCATCTGGTGGACGGCGCTTCGTCTCATTTCTAACAACCTGAGAAAGAATCAGAGACACGTTAAAAAGCTGCTTCGCGCTCAGCACCAAGTAGAGGGTGGGACGGACCCACCTGGTGCTAGACACGGCCAACAAGCCGCCGTTCCCCAGGTTCACGAGACCTCGAGCCAGATCGGCCATGGAGGGCCGTGCGGGGGCGCTGGGAGCGAGGGCCCTCAGCTTGAAGTGGGGGTCCACGCAGCACGGCGCCGCAGGAAAACTTCTCATCTGTCGCTTCAGCTGACGGCGAACTGCGACCACTTCACGCCACCTGGTGGGTTAAACAGAAAACATCACAGATCCTCTAAAAACCAAACAATTCTGCAAAGTTTATCTAACCGGCCAACAGGAAACATGTTTGAGCAACAACGTTTATATCCGCCTGGCTTTAACCTTTTGATGAACTTGCGGATCAGCTCCTTCTCCGCCTCCAGAACTTCTTCTGCCAGCTGGGCCATGTCTGAGTTCAAAGTCTCCTCAATCAAGCTGCTCCAGATCTGCTCGGTGCATTTAGCAAAACGCACCGCTTTCTCCTTTAATGCTTCCCTGAAAGCAAAAAAAATAAAAAATGTAAGAGTCACACTTGATAGTCTGAACAGTAACAGAGAAGAAAGTTAAGTTTAGGCTCCTTTAAGCCTCAGGATATGATGAATGCCATCCTTATTATTTTTATTTTTACAAAGACGAAGCCAAGATTAAAAATGTGTCTAATAACATCCCATAAAGCAACAGAATGAAAGACCAAAGGAAGGATCAGGTTGTCTGACTAAGACTCTCCCTTTATGGTGGATTTTAGGTCACATCACAGTATTTTAACCAGACAGAGGTCTGGGCTTTGACTAGGCCTTTCCAGCAGCTGAATTATTTTATTTTTCAGTCACACTGTTCTAGATTAGTTACTGTTTGGGAGGATTGTTCTGTTGGTGACCCAGTTGGGTCCAGGCTTCAGCTGTTAGACAGATGGACTCTAATCCAACTCCTCTTTAGATGCAGAGCCCTCAGACTGCAAGGTTCCCCGTTTCTGTAGCAACAAAACATGAGAAAAGACCATCCTCCCTCCACTGCTGAGCTGAACTGTTGGTCTGAGGCGTTTGTGCTGATGTCTGGTTCTCTCCAATCATCGTTCTATGCTTTATGGTCAAACTTCTGGGTTTTGGACTCATCTGTCTTTGACTTTGTCCCAGAAGCAGCTTTGCGGACCTCAGTCCTGCTGCCACCCAGCAGAGGATTTCTCCTTCAACCTTTCAAACTGTCCTGTTATGACCTTTAACCTTCTAACTGGGTCTGTGGGGTCTGAGGTTTCTGGTCTTTCCTCCAAGCTCCTGACCTTTTGCTGAATCTGATGGGGGAAACTGGAGATGATCTTATAACCACTTACAGATTAACAGGCAGCATCAGCAGTTTCTCTCACCTCATTGCTGATGTCTTTCCATCTTGGCATTATGCTTTTCATGTCAGGTTTCTCTTGGTTTAATTAATATAATGGATTACATATCAGTTTAAACCGTTTTCTGAAAAGCAGCTGATAACAAGTCATAGGGAAGCGGCTGTTCCAACCGCTGCAGTTCCGAATTGTCCAAGTGGTGCCCGGGTGAATTTGATTGGCCGTTTATCAAGGGAGCAGGATTGTTGTGGCGGAAGGTTCTCAAGCAAGTTTGGTTGTGGCCGGTTTGTCGGAAGCATCTTGCTAACCAGTTAGCAACTTAGTGCTAGTAGGTTCCCAATGATAAATTCCAATGGGACCAAGTAGCACTAAATTGGTGACTTAGCAATAACACTGTCAAGGAACGCTATGGACAGCGGAAACATGCAAGAGGAGGAGAGTTTTGTGTCTGAGGTCGTGGATGAGTATCCTCTGTCATACATTTTTCATTTAGAGGAGGCTAGCAGGGAGGAAGTTGTTGTGGAAGAGGACGCCAGGGCGGCAGAAGCTTAGTTTGGTTTAGAAGGCTTACAGCCGTACATTTTTGAGCCCTTGCCTCGCAACGCTGCCAGTTCTGTTAGCTCTACGCCTGCTGAAGACACAGACGTCCATCCCCGTGAACACTGGGACAGATGACCGTTAATATATGATTGGCTGTTCAAGCTGAAGTATAACTAACCAGCTAAAAAACACAAATTTTAAGATAGTATTTTTTTTTTTAATAGAAAATTTGCAACAATATAGTTCGATAAAGAGTACAGTTATAAACATGTTTAAGCCAGAATGATTTGAAATTTAAATATGACCTCCCTACGACTTTAACTTGTCCTGATACCTAAAAACTGAATGAAAACGGTAAGTACTTCCTTTCCACCATGATTCTACATTATAGATTTAGTTTTTCAAGGTTCAGAGAATCTTACTGGATCTCAGAGGTGGCGGCTTCCTTCACAGCTTCGTCAACCACCTCATGGATAATCTCTGTGCAGAGAGAACCACTGAACTGCATCAGGAAAGCTTCATGCTCCTGCCTCCTCCTTCAACAAACAGATATGGTAAAGAAAGATGAGGTGAGCTGTGAGAAAAATAACCCTTCATAATGTTTTTGATCCTCTATCCTGCTGGAGTTCCTGTTAAAAACAGTTTGATTACAATCATCAGGGAACAGACCTGGCCTCTTCGAGTCTGCGTTTCTCTTCAGCCAGTCGCTCTTGCTCTAACTTGATCTCCGTAGCTGATATCTCCTTCAACATCTGTTCTGACACCTCACCCACCAGAGCCTCCACCTGCACACTGCTCTCCCTGCAGAAACAGCAACGTTCAATCAGTGGAACTGTCTGCATAGCCTCAACACACCATCCAATCCTGTTAGCTTACATGAGAGCAGCTTTGGCGTAGCTGGCGCCACCATCAGCCACCGCCCTGACCTCTGCTCCAACCACCTCCTCTATCACAGCGTCCACCTCCGCCATGATGTCCTGAAACAGAAGGAAGAAAACAGCGGCTGAGTACAAACCAAAGCAGAGTTTACAGAGCAGGAAAATCCTGCCGGGCTCTTCCCACCTCCTCGCTGTAGACCGGCTGAGGTTTGGGTGCAGGTGATGGAGGTTTGATGAGCTCAGGCTGAGGGATAGGCTGGAAGAGCTGAGCTGCAGGTTGAAACGATTCTCCCCTCTCAGCTGCAGCGGTCGGAGCATCCAGAGCTTTGATCAACGCAAACTGGGTGGGCACCTCTGTGCGGGGCGGGGAGCTGACCTCCACAGCGTCAGCTGAAACAAACCACAGGAGCTCCTTAGGTTCTACTGAGAGAGAAGGAGGTGACTGCACACAAATGCTGAAAACAAACCTCTAATGGAGCTGAAGCTGGGCTCTGTCAGCACGCCGTCTCCTCGGAATTTGCTCTGCGAGTCGAAGCTGCAGACGGGAGTGTGCCGAGGTGGGTTGGGAAGTGGACCGCCGTTCACCACCTGTCCGATCAGAGCCGCTTTCTTAGCCAGGATCACGTCGGACCTCTTCAGAGACAGCGGCAGTTCCGGTTCCTGGAAGGACGTCCGACTCAGCTCCACCATCCTGAGGAGAACCGACAGAGTTCTGCTACAACCCGACCTTCTAATGGGCGAGTCAGCCTGGAGAAGGTCCAGCTGCTAAGGAGGAGAACTGAACATGATATGGTCAAACCGCTGCTGAGGCTCACCCATCATTAACATTGAGCCCATATTGCTGGATGAAGTCTGTCGCCTCTGCGGCGCTGCGGAACATCAGCATTCGGACGATGTCGTCCACCGGAAACGGGGTTGATCGCGGACCCACAGTGTGAGCCCAGTTCAGGGTCTTTAGGGCTCTTGATCGGACCTGAAACAGAGTAAGAAGAAGCAGCTTAAAACAAAAACATCAGAAACATTTAATTTGTTCATCCAATATAGAAACTTTCAATGGTTTAAGCAAAGAATCCAAAGCCGACCGTGAATCAAATATAAAGTTAATCAGAAAGTGAAGGAGGAAAGCTTCCCTGCTGGTTCCTCACCTGGTTGAAGTATCTGTGTAGGAGGCAGCCGGACAGGTAGGAAGCTCTTTTCACCAACTTGAAGAAACGCACAAAGTTGTTGCTGCTAACAGCAGCAAAGGCTTGAACTGCAAACTTCACCTCAGGAGATTTACGGACTTCGTCGCGGAACTGCTGCACCTCCCTGTGGGGACATTAAAGCAGTCCAATAAAAGCTGAAGCTAACAGCTGGACCTGTTTTAGGTGAAACATCGAGTGGGGTTTGTTCCGACTGACCGAAGGATGTCGCCATCGTTGAGTTTCAGCAAGACGCTGTACTGGCGGAACTCTGCCTCCCGGGGGCAGAAGGTCTGCTGCGTGGCCAGGTCCTCGTACATCTCCTTCAGACTCTGCATGCACTTGGTCATGTTCTCGTTGTTGATTTTGGCATCGAAGGACGACAGGCGCTCCTCGCAGAGGTGGTGGGCGCAGTGAACGTGGAAGCGCGTGCACTTCTCTATCAGCGCCACGGTGTCGGGGCAGCAGAGGCGCTGCTGGATGATATCCTGTGGGATGGATCAGCGGAGCAAAAGGTGAAACAGCTGCGTTTTAAAAACCGCTGCTAGATGCTGCTTCGGTCCTGACCTTGCGAATCCCTCGGGTTCTGTTCCACACAAAGTCGTACCAGTCTCTCAGGTTGTCTTGAGCCTGATCCATGATCTGGGTCACCAGGTAGTCCATGGTCATTCTAAGCACCGGAAGGGGCCGCAGCTCATGAGGAAGAGGCTCCTCCTGGTCGGCGGAGGAACGGCTGTACTCCTTTATAGCCGCTTCATGATCCACCTGGTTGGAACAGAAGACGGATCCTTTAAAAATATCTGAAGGTTTTCAATAAAAGCAAAGGTGTGCGCTCTGCAACTAACATCAGCTCCTTCCTGTGTGTCAGAGCTGCAAACTACATATTTAAGAACAGCTAATAATAACAAGAACAGCATTAAAACCTTCAAAACATCTGGAAGAATCTTAGGCAGTCGTTATTTCTGACCAACCCAGCACCACATCCATTCTAATTCGCCTAAATGAAACGACTAGAAACGCTTTGTTCTGTGAGATTTCACACGCAGCCTTCACTTTGATATTAACGGCTCCGTTATGCTTGATGAACGTACGCTACATTTGGAGATGAGACACATGGACACAGCGCCTGCAGCTTTTATAGTCTGAATGACTTCTCCACTTGTATATAATATCCTGTCCGGTTCCAGGGGGCGTGTACAGCACTAACCGCATATTTACAACACCACAGTACATGAGGAAGTAGGAAAGACTGATGTTTTCAACTTTTTCAAAGTTCTCTTGATCTTTGTGACATTTACGTCCTAAATCGCAAGATGTCTTCAGCTGTTTGTATTGGCAAACCCTCACCGGTCGGAGCCGATGCTCGTCCACCATGTTTATTAGGAAGAGGAGCATCCAGCCTGTTAGTCAGTAGGATGTCATCTAATCCACAAATGTTTTCAGTAGCTTGTGTGCCAAGAGATGTGATTTATTTTGTTCCTGTATGATGTAAACATCTTCCTTTGTGGTTAACTGTAATTGTTTTGAGTAATTGAAACCTATGACTAGGGGTGTGCAAAATAATTCTCATGACGATGCATCGCGATCCTAATTTTTGTGATCTGCTGCGTCGATTCTTGATGCCAAGTATCGATTCTTAATTAACAAAAAGGAATAAATTAAATACATGAATGGTTGGCACACATCAGCCAAAAACAAGTGGAATACAACTTTCAGTCCAGTAGATGTCGCTGCGGATACTGCGACGAGTCATTTATAAACAAAACATGGAGACTGAGAAAATTTGCCCAGCTCCATCACATTCCAAGTCAGATGTTTGAATGCATTTTGGCGTTGAAAACAAAGAATGTAAAAACTAAATTGATATAATGTTTCCATTTCATTGGTTTAAAGGGCCACTGAGGCCATGTAAACGGCACTGTTATTTTAAGTTTTATAAATCCTAAGCACTTTTTGTCAGTGTGTCGACTCCAGTAATAGTAATATTTGTGTCCAGTATTTGTTTTCATGGCAATCCTTCGATAGTAGTTTCAATAAACAAAGCTAATTATGAATTCAGTTGCTTTCAGTTATGTATCAATTGAAGACACTATCCAGATCATACCCACGCAGTCAGCCATTGGTAATAGCTGTATTTTTTTCTTACAGTGTTCAGTGAAAATATCGCAATGCATCGTAATATTTCAAGTATTGCGATGCATCGTGATAGAATCGCATCGTGGCATGTGAATTGTGATTCGGATCGAATCGTGACTCTTTGGCAATACCCACCCCTACCTATGACTATCTTGGTTTTATGCAAAGTAGACTTTTCATACTGTGGATTGAAATTATCATCTTATTCAGATCTAATTTCATCATTTTATATTGTTAATTGTGAACTGTAATGATCATTTTGGTTTTATGTAATTTCACATATATTTCAATTTAACGAACTCAAGGAAGAACAGCAGAGCATTGGATGTGGCTAACGGGGCCAAATAGATAAATAAACAACAACTGTTGCTTTTAAGACCACAGGAGGGTGGAGCTGCTGGGCTGTCCTGCCTGCAGTACAGATGTTGGACACCTGGGGTCCATCCCAATAGTGCAAAGAGAAGAGCGTCAGCGGTTGCCATGATTAGTGGTGTCTAGAAAGTACAGAAGGTGGAAGCTTCTAATGGATAGTTAATTTAGCATAGGGACCAGCTTACGTTCCTATCCGCTGCATAGGAGCTGTGTGGTTTACTGAAACCCTCCTGAAGTTTAACATAAAAACATTATTTCTTCAGTGAAATCTTTGAGACTTGCTAATATCCTCACCTTCATATGGCTTCATTTTTATAAGAGAAAGCTTTACTGCATTTATGTAACTTTTATTTTGTAGTTCCACTTTCAAAGGTTGTATTCAAGATTTGACCAGCATCATTTATGGGCGTTTCCGTCTGTTAATGACGTCTGTAAGGCTGAAGTCTGTCTGGATTCAGCATAGCAGTCCAGCGTTCCCTTTCTACCAGTGAAACGGTTAGGAGTTAGGACTTCTGAATGCTGGATGAACGGTACTGTTCATGGCTTGGTGTCCTTAGGAGGTTATTTAAATGTAGGACATGAAAAGCTGAAGAAACTTTGGGGTTTTGCATTAAGGTATCATATTTGGTAAAACGGAAAACCTTTTGGATTTAAACTCCAGATTAAAACGAAATAAAGTTTCAGACCCTCACCATCTCTGTGTTTGGGAGAACCTCGAACACGCTGAGCTGGTTCCGTGTTTCCCTCATGTACCTCTCCTTCTCTGGACACATGTCGGGACACGTCCCTACAAAAACCCTGGACAGGTCCAAGTCTGTCCTCTTTGGTCGTTCTGAGGGCACATGTGGACAGGGTTAGGTTTTTTTCACATCAGGGTCTCAGATGTGTCGACAGATTCCCTCACCTTGACGGAGAACTTTGTCTCTCTGCTCCAGGATGCGGTATCTTTCCTCGGCAGTCTCTGCGAACTGTCCTATGAGGTGGCTGAGGGATGACGGGACATTTCGCTCTGAGCTCTGCGGCTCTGTGAGGTTCTCTTTTTGAGGCTCTGGATCAAACAGCGGCTGCTTGGATGGAGACGGTCTCAGAGGAGAGCTGCATGAAAAGAGTCCATGAGCTGCAGGAACAAAACCAGGGTAAAAAACAGGCTCTGAAACACAGGAGTTACCTTTGTCTAAAGGTGAGATGGCTGCTGACTGTGGGGGGCATAAGTGTGGGTCGCCTGAGAGGGGAAGAACCGGGTTTGGGCTCTTCAACTTTAGGACTTTCTCCTGCAAATTTGTCCTTTTCTGGCGGAGATCTGCTGCTTTTATCACCGGGACCTGAAATGGACCAATGAAACAACTCAGAATCTATAATATGATCTAAAAAAAAAAACTAACAATATTAGTATGATCTCAGTCAGGGCCTAAAAGACGACCCCAGAACCACTGATCCATCTCTGATGTTACAGAGGTCCATCCAGAAAGTTTTGTTAGAGGGGCCAGATGGGGGCCAGGAGCTCTATTTAGCTCTGCTGCTGTGGTACTGACTGATTATAAACACAGCTGCAGATTTGACAAGCTAACAGTAACCTAACATACAGCAGCTTTGAGTCATAAAAACCACTGTTCACTTCAAGAAGGCAAAGAATAAACATAAAAACATCTTAAGGAAACATGTTTGAAGTGGAATGTATTAGTTAAGCTTTAATAAAAGCATTTGAGCTAAAGTTCCAAACAACCTTGTCTGGTTAAATAAACTTAATCTGAACATGGCAGACAGTAAGAGTGTCTGGGGTCACATCCATTCATCAATTTACAGTAAAATCGGCTAAAATTGTAACAGAACTCCCCCCAAAAATGACGTAATTATCAATTAATTAACATTTTCTTTTACATTCAACCAGATATCTTTCATTAATAGTCAGTTAGACTTTAGCCTAATCATAAAGTTTAGGCATAAGGTCAAGCATCAAAGCTGCTGATTTCTGGTGAATGGTTGATTAAAACATTGACCAACAGACAGCTTGATTTATTTTAAAGCAGACTTAAATGTCACCAGTTTGTTGATGGATAAAAAATAGTTTTGTGGGTAAAGTAACTGGAAGAGGTCCAGCAAATTATTAGGATTTTAACAACCTTCTATTAAACCATAACTCTTTTGGCCTCATCTGGCTAAACTCCAGAGGACATAAAATGTTTAGCTTTAATCTGAAAACATTTTCATATCCTGCTTTTTAGATTTTTAGCATCAGTACTATGAAGTTTAGTGTAGTTTTGGTTGATAGTTGTAAATGAGTTTGATTTACTTTGCTTCTTCTTTTGCCAGAGGAGGAGCAGCTCCTCTCCATGCAGGACTTTTCCTCGCCTTTTTGCTTTGGCAGCGGAAACCTTAAAAAAAAAAAACGAAAACAGAACAAAATTAGAAAACACTTTCACTGCAGAAAAGATGCTTCTCCACTAAGACACCAAGAACAGCAGCGTCCTGTGGTTCAGTGTGAGTCAGAACAATCGTAGAGTACGTTAAACAAAATCATGGATAACTCACATGGTCCTCAAAGTGAACGATGGCCAGGTTCTTATTGGGTCGGCAGAAGATTTTACAGACTTTTCCAAAACGGGCAAAATGCTTCTCGATCACGTCCTTTTTGTTAAGGCTTGGAGGAATGTTCCTGCACATGATGGTGGTGAGATCGCTGGGAGACAACCCGCTGAGACTGTCCAGGCTGTCCCTGCGTGCTCCTTGGCTGACGGGGGTCAACGCTTCGGCCACTGAGCTTGGAGGGACCACTGTGTCTACAGAGGGAAACAATAATCCACCTTATCATTCAGAGGCTATTTTAGAGAAGCCGCTGTTTGACTAAATTAATTAAATTCTTAGAAACAATTATAAATATGTGGCAAAAACTTTAAAAGAAATAAATATTTCTGGCAGCAGCATAATCTAAGTAGAAGCACTCGGAGAGCACAGACCTACACCAAGCAGCAAATGTTGTGACCAATACCTATAGCTAAGAACTAACACATGATCTGGATTATTACCAAACTTTTATGGGTTGTTTCTTGGCATGAGGCGCACCCCTAACGAAAAATTCTTTGAAATCTATTCAGAACTTTCAAGTAATACTGCTAATAAACAAACCAACTGAAATCATAACATCCTCAGTGGAGCTTTTAAACCATGAATAATCCAACCTTTAATTTGAGTACATTGAGTGAACTAGAGACAAATTCTACATTTAGAAATACTTGTTTTCATTTGAAGTATTGGAAGAAAAATTATTGGATCCTTTTTAAAAGAAAAATACTAAAAGCAGCCTTTTAAATTGACTAGATTGTCAATGAACTTCTGGTTAGTCACCCAGAATTTTTAAGTATGATGGCACACAAACTGATTTCTTTCAGCAACTGCCAGAACAAGGACTCCAGGGCTCGATCTGAAAACCTTAGATTATAGCTCTAACAGCTCCTACACTGGAAAAACTATCTAGAAATAAATAAACATTTCTGAAATTAAGTGCATTTGCCCTTTATTTAAGTAGGTAAATGAGATAGTTTGCCAATGGAATGAGTATTTTTACTCGTAAAATAAGATAATGCAATTGTGTTTTCTTATTTCAAGAGTAAATTGTCTTGTTCCACTGGCAAGATGTCTCTTTTACCTCCTCAATCCAAGAACAAATGCACTTATTTTAAGAAAAAATTGACTTCTCTAGATGTCGATTTCCCAGTGTATCCCTCCACCTTTTATGGGCTTAACAGGACTCTATGCAGGGAAGCGAAGGAGCTCTGATCTGCTGTGCTGAAACCAGACAGCTTTCAACCATATGGACTTTATCAAGCAATAAACATGCACATGAGTGATGCTGGCCAAATTGGGACTCCATTTTTCAGGAGAACTACAAAAAAATGTGTCGGTGAGGACATTAGCATGAGTCAACTAAGAGTCTGTGAAGAAATAATGTATTTTTGTTGAACTCTTGAGGTGGGCTCTGCAAATGGCCTCCATTTATCTTCAAACAAAAGCCGAGAAAGCCAGGAGCTCCATATACTAAATAAATTGATGCTAAGAAGTATCCTGCATCCTGGTCCCTCTGGTTCCTAACTGCCAGCACTATTCACACTGCAAAAATGATCTAAAAATAGGTAAATGTGTCTTAAATCAAGTGTATTTACCCTCAATTTTAGTAATTAAATGGGATGATTTGCCAATGGAATTAGTATTTTTACCATTAAAATAGGATAATTAGATAATATGCACTTGTAATAAGACGACGCAACTGCTTTTTCTTATTTTAAATGTAAATTTTCTTGTTCCATTGGCCAAGTCTCTCACTTATCTTCTCAATTCAAGAGAGAATGCACTTATTTTTAGAAAAAAGATGTCAATTTTCTGCCATGAAGATAGCACTTCATATTAAGTGTCCTAAAAAATTTGAGGTATTTAGATTGAACCCAGTTGTCACCACAAAGAGGAAGGAAGCAATTAACGAAGCCAAACACATGAATAAAGCTCATTGTTTGAAAGATTAGCAGCAGAGAGTGGTTAAACCTTTTCTACCATACTAACATAAAAACATAGAGTTTATGACTGGAACTTTACCATGATCTGTGTTATTTACTCAGAGCAAAGATCATGTTAACACATCCTCCAGTCATCGTTTCAGTGGAGGCTGGTGATGCTGTGGGCCTCCTTCTCTTCCCAAGGTCCCAGGATCATTGTTAGTATGATTATAGTTTAAGTATTTTTTTTAGTGTGGCTGATAAGGTGTACACTGTGGAGCAAATTCTCTAAATCTCACCTGATCGTTCTGGTTTTCCTACAGCGTCTCTGGTTGGTATCTGTGCAGTGGGTGGCAGAGCAGAGGGGTCATTCCCCTGAGGTTTTTCTTCTTCCTCCAGGTTTGGATTTTGTCTCAAAGCCTCGTTAGCTGCCTCCCTCTTCACTGGGTTTCCCTGGTTCTTACGGATCCCGCTCAACGCCTGGCCAAACAAGCCCGCAGGACCACGGGACCTCGTTACCTGCCTCTTGGCAGGATGTCTTGGTGAATCAATGTTAGCTGGAGCATCCTCTTCAGCAGCCGGCTTCTCGAACCCCGAGCTAGAAGCTGCAGGATCATCCTTCCTCTTGATTGCTTTCCCGAGGCGACCAAATACATTTGTGCCGCCTTCCTTTCCATCAGTACTAAACTCTGCCTTAGGGTGGATGCCTCCAAATGATGGAGTCTGACTGAAAGTAACATTCGATGAGAATTGAGTTGGCTGAGTCTGCAGGGCACTGGCTGTGAAATTGAAGGATGATGGGGTGGTGGGCTCTGTAGTGGGACCAGTGGAGCTGGATCCAGGCAGGGCAGCAGGTTTGGTGAAGGTAAAGTGAGGAGTGCTGCTGCCCTGATTACTGTTAGCAGTTGTCGGCTGGTTGGATACAGAGGAGGTTGCAGCTGGCTGTGTGAAGCTGAAACCCGTCGGCCCAGACTTGGCTCCAGTCAGAGCAGAGAAGGCAGTGGAACTGGAACCCCTCTGTGAGCTGCTTCCTCCAAAAGACGAGCTAGAAGTTGTCAGGGTTTGGTTGTTACCCAACTCTGGGCTGCTACTGAAGATGGGTTTGAATACAGACTCTGTGGGTGGCTTGAAACTGAAATCTTGGCGTCCAAACCCCTGGTTCTGGTTCACATTCTGCGCAGCACTGAATACGTTAGACGAGGCCGTCTGTCCGGACGAAGTCTGCCCGGAACTGGAGGTGATGATAATATGAGAGCTTCCAAAAGCAGGAGGTGGCTTTCCAAACCCAGAGGTCTCTCCAAAGGATGGAACCTGACTCATAGAAGGCTGGGCCTGAGTCTGTAGCTGTCCGAAAATGGAATTACTCTGGGCTCCAGGCTGATTCATCGGGGATGGCTGTCCGAAAATGGAAACACTTTGGGATGTAGGTTGGTTGACTGTTGATTGCTGTCCGAAGATGGAGCCACTTTGGGATGTAGATTGATTTGCTGTGGATGGCTGTCCGAAGATGGAGCCACTTTGGGATGTAGGTTGGTTGACTGTTGATGGCTGTCCGAAGATGGAGCCACTTTGGGATGTAGGTTGATTTGCTGTGGATGGCTGTCCGAAGATGGAGCCACTTTGGGATGTAGGTTGGTTGACTGTTGATGGCTGTCCGAAGATGGAGCCACTTTGGGATGTAGGTTGATTTGCTGTGGATGGCTGTCCGAAGATGGAGCCACTTTGGGATGTAGGTTGGTTGACTGTTGATTGCTGTCCAAAGATGGAAACATTTTGGGCCCTAGGTTGACTCCCTGTGGATGGCTGTCCGAAGATGGAACCACTTTGGGCCGTAGGTTGACTCCCTATGGATGGCTGTCCGAAGATGGAACCACTTTGGGCTGTAGGTTGACTCCCTGTCGATTGCTGTCCAAAGATGGAACCACTTTGGGCCGTAGGTCGACTCCCTGTCGATTGCTGTCCGAAGATGGAACCACTTTGGGCTGTAGGTTGACTCCCTGTCGATTGCTGTCCGAAGATGGAACCACTTTGGGCCATAGGTTGACTCCCTGTGGATGGCTGTCCGAAGATGGAACCACTTTGGGCTGTAGGTTGACTCCCTGTGGATGGCTGTCCGAAGATGGAACCACTTTGAGCCGTAGGTTGACTCCCTGTGGATGGCTGTCCGAAGATGGAACCACTTTGAGCTGTAGGTTGACTCCCTATGGATGGCTGTCCAAAGATGGAACCACTTTGGGCCGTAGGTTGACTCCCTGTCGATTGCTGTCCGAAGATGGAACCACTTTGAGCCGTAGGTTGACTCCCTATGGATGGCTGTCCAAAGATGGAACCACTTTGGGCCGTGGGTTGACTCCCTGTCAATTGCTGTCCGAAGATGGAACCACTTTGGGCTGCAGTTTGATTCGCTGTGGATGGCTGTCCGAAGATGGAGCCACTCTGAACTGCAGGCTGATTTATTGAAGACTGCTGCCCGAAGATGAAACCGCCCTGAGCGGCTGGCTGATTAACGACAGACTGCTGCCCAAAGAGGGGGCCACCCTTTGCTGCAGGTTGGTTAAGAGCGGACCCTTGTCCGAATATGGACCCACCCTGAGTGGCAGGCTGATTCACTACAGATTGCTGTCCGAAAATGGAACCACCCTGAGCTGCAGACTGGTGCGTAGCAGACGGCTGTCCGAAGGCAGGTGGCTGCTGGAAACCAAAACTTTGTCCCTGAGATCCGCTGGAATTCTGCTGTCCGAAAACCTGGAAGAGACTGGGCTTCATGGAGCTACCGGGAGCCTGGAAAGCTCCACCCTGCGGACTTCCAAACGGATTCATAACGAAGAAAAATAGGTTTATGCGGTGTTACCGGATAAAGCTGGTTTTTAACCTAGCCGTTTGCAGCTCCGGCGTTAGCATCGGAAAACTCAACATAAATTTGCCAAATATCCCCAAAAAAAAAGGTTATTTTTATGCTCCTTCGGATATTAAACAGGAAAAAGAAAACTTCCCGTACAAATAAATCGAAGATATACTGATTAAATTTTAAAATAAAACAATCTCTGCGCTCTATTTCCTTCGAATACTTTATACTTCCGGTCTAAGTCCGATGAGGATTTTCTTCCCCGAGTTACACGAAAACAGTTCCTCGACCCTCGAACAAATAAACAACTACGATTTTTTTCTAAATAAGCGAATAAAATAGTATGTTTTTTGTTAAAAATATTCATAACTCAGAATTACCATGAGGTGGATTTTTTGACATGAGAAATTGAGTTAAACTAAGACGACGTATTTTTTTTTTATTTTAACAAAAGGCCCTTATATCCTCTTCTAACTATAAATGTGTAATGCCCCAAACATTTTTATTTTGATCTAGATTCTCTGACATACAACCATTACTTATAAAACATTTATTGAACTTGTTAACTCTAAAAAATGTGAGTTTTGATGTTTGGGAACTTTTGAAGCTTTTATATTGAACCTGTTTAAAATGATTTAACAGCTTAACTTGTAAATTCTGAAATCGTTTCTCATAATTTGATAATAGGTTATTGAAATTACAGTTTGCAAGCCCAGATCATTCTCATCTAACTTAGTATTTAACATTGGGGCTAATTTCATAACTTGCAAGATTGGTCAAACTGACAGATAAGGCACTGTTTGAGTGTTTATTATCAATTATCCATACTCTTATTTTTCAAATACTTTAACAAAAAGCATAATGCTCTCAGATATCTTAGTCTTGATTAAACTGAATTCAAAACTTGTTGTTGTTCAATTTTTTTTACATAAAAATATACATAGTGTATTTTTTACATAGACTTTTTAATAATTATGATATTAGTCTTGAAATTTTGGAAAATGGCACAGTTAATCCAAGATCATAATGAGTTTGAAATCTGAAGATTAGGGCATTCTCTTGAAGATTTTTATGCCCCATAAATTTCAGGCCTCAAAACTGAGTGTGATCAAATCTAATCCTAATAACACATTGAAACATGTAATTCGTTTGTCAGCTTTCAAAAAAGTGCAATGCAACAAATTATTTAACTCTAAGTCAGCTCTGTTTAAAATATGCACCATGCAATTTCTTGAATTAGTTAACACTAGGCCAGATGTTTTTTTACACGTCACAGCCTCTTTGGATCAGAGTCCCTACATAAAATAGATGACTAAAACATGTCAAACTTAAGAATAGAATGACATGTTATTTACAACAACATGAACGGTCCAACAATTCTAAATAAAATATGGTTTAGATTTAGACATTATTTTATTTTGGATGCCAAAAACAACATCAACAACCTGTGGCTCTTAAAACTTTGGAAAAAACTGATAAAGAGAAAACTCAGATGTAAAGAAATAACAGTAAAGTACTTTTTTTTTTTATTAAATTAAACAACATTTTCCAAATAGAAAAAACACAAAAGGTGCAATTAATATTTTTATAAATATCAATTTTTTTGTCTATTATCTGGTTCATTACAATATGCCATGTGCTCCTGTTTAAAGAAAATATTCCAAAAAATGCTAAGAGGAAAGCTACAGAAGCGTATTGCTGTCACTTAATTTTTGATTGTATAAACGTAAAAGTATATTGTACAAATGGGATATGTTGTATAAACGTGATAGTTACAGCAAAAAGTTATTTTCTCACATACCAGCAATATGCTTCCATAGAACTATATGTTTGCAAAAGTTTTATTTCTTTTCTTTTGTTTAAAAACTAAAAATAATCAAACTTAGGTTATTTAGAAAAGACAAAAAGCCTATGTGTGGAAAAAAACATTATTTTTTGAATAAGACAATAGAACAATAAAAAAAAAATTATTTTAAGAGGGTGAAAGTTGGCAAGGAGTATCCAGCTTCACTTCACTTTATTTTTTAGCAAATAATCCAACATTAAACAATATCAAAACAAAACCAACAATTTACCAAAAAAAAGGAATAGGCTGAAGCAAAGCTTATTTTTGCCTACCCTGTTTTATACTTACAACCTTTATAACCTACCAGGTTCTTTACTGCGTATATAAATATTCAAATCTACATAACATAGGATTTTATCATTTTACATTTTAAAGCCCTTGTAAAATTCACCAAGAAAGGACATAACTTTAAATCATCATTCAATTCATTCCACATTTTTACACCAATAACTGAAATAAATTTAGTATATCTGGCTCTTCTCTTTTGCACATAAACAAACCTCGCAAATTATATTTATTCTCTCTTAACTTAAATAATTTCTGAATACCAGAAGGAAGACTTTTGTTCACTGCTTTATGCATTATTTCCAGTATTTTTATATAACCAATGTCTTTGAATTTTAATGTGTTGCTTTGAATGAAGAGTTTATTACCAGTAGTTGGTTCACAGTATCCCACCTTATTAATAAGCCTTTTTTTTATTTGCATTTCCCAAAACTTCTGAACAATAAGACAAATAAGGCATAACCAAAGAGGAATATATAATATGCAGGCCTTTAATATTTATTAAATCTTTTATTTTAAATAGTTTTTGCAATTTTATTTCTAATATATTCTATGTGAGAATTCCAACTAAGTTTGTTGTCTATAATGATCCCTAAAAATGTTGCCTTTTCAATTTGATAAAGCTCGGGCTTTATCAAATTAAATATTATAGATGCGAACCTAAAGAACATTTAATTCAGCCCAATAGTGATCTGGCCCTTTAATCAAACGGTGAATCGGAAGTTGTGAATCAGAAACCAGCTTCAGCTCCGGTTTGATGGTGTCACCTTAAAATGTGTCCTGAGTGAAGCTAAACGAGGCTGTCCTCCAGAGGCTGAGTATCAGTCCCCATCAGAGGCTAAAGCTTTGAGTTCATTCATGCCTTCAGGCTCCATTTCCACACCGGTTCGTTTCCTTCTCGGTTTAAAATGGGAGTAGTTCTCCGGAACCTCCAGAGGGTGGTTCCTCTGCGGCGCGCCAGGCTGCGCAGGGACGTGGACACCCTGAGACACATCCTGGGCATCCACAAGTTCGACCTGGGGATCATCTGCGTGGATAACCGCAGGATCCAACAGATAAACAGCATTTACCGAAAGAAGAACGCGCCAACGGATGTCCTGTCCTTCCCATTCTATGAGGTAAACATAGTCTGAATATGTTCAAATAATTAATTCACTTCAGTATGAATTCGGCTGCATACGGAAGAGGATTAGGGCCAAAAAAAAAAAAAGATTTAATTTTATTTTTATTTAAATACATTTTATTTCAGAGATTAAAGTCAGAATTCTGACTTTTTTTCTCAGAATTCAGACTTTTTTCTCAGAATTCAGACTTTTTTCTAAGAGTTTTGACTTTTTTCCCAGAATTCAGACTTTAATCTTAGAATTTTGACTTTAATCTTAGAATTTTGACTTTAATCTCAGAATTCTGACGTTAATCTCAGAATTCTGACTTTTTTTCTCAGAATTCTGACTTTTCTTTTCTCAGAATTCTGACTTTTCTTTTCTCAGAATTCTGACTTTTCTTTTCTTAGAATTCTGACTTTTCTTTTCTCAGAATTCTGACTTTAATTTCACAATTCTGAGTGAATTCTGACATTTAACAAACATGTTAGCATCAAGCCGTAGCTCTCGTTTTAATCACCTCCTGGTCTTCCATTAATGAAATAGTATCACCGGGGACCCCTCAGGCACATAAAAAGTCACCCAGTTCTGTCATTTTCCACCAATGTGTTACCGGCCCTCCCAAACAACTCACATCTTTGTCAGTTAAGCTAAGTGCTCCCAAATGTTCTTTAATTGTGCCCATCTACATTAAGATCCAAAATTCTGAAATTAAAGTCAGAATTCTGAGAATTTCATATACTGAAATAAAATCTAAAAATCAGTTAACTTTTTTAATATTTTTTCAGTGGCCCTAGTCTTCTTCCGTAGATGCAGGTGCAGCTACTGTCCGAAAAACCAACATCCTGCTTTTTATCTGGAATTTACTCTAAAGCAGCATTTCGTAGGCTTGATTTTCTGAATTAATGTGAAGTCATTGGAAGAAACCATGATGAATGAAAGAAGGTAGGAGGAAATTTTATTAACTCATTGCCCCTCCTTTGAGTTAAAAGAAAGTTTTCGTGCCCTCTGGTCAGTCTTTTCCACAGCAAGAAAAGTCAAATGTTATCTATGGAAGCCTGTTTCCGCCAAATAAAAAAATATAACAGTGCCGGTCTAAATCAAACTTTACTGGGGGGTTAATTTTTTTTACATAGGGGCACAGAACAAAAGAGAAACACACACTTGCACAAAAACAAAACAGGGTGAAAGCTTATCATCTAGTTTTATAAGAAAGGCCAAAGCCAAGGTTGCAGATCCTTGCAGGAGCTCAAAGAATGTTTCATCCGGTGAAAATTACAGTTCATACATTCATTCATACATATAGAAAGAAGCAATTACATTTATTTTTAATGTAATTAAATTACTTATTTTTTTACATGGTGCATTTTGATCCTCCATATATCTCGGGGATCACATCGCAATGATTGGAAAAATCATCTTGCGATCTACCCAAGGGCTCCTGACCCTCACTTTGGGAACCTCTGATCTATAAGGTGAAAACTGATTCCATCTGAAGCGTATAATGATACACCTTAGGTTCTATATAATTGTAAACACTAATGGTTAAAGATTAAATTGGTACAAAAGATCATTTGATCTGAATCCTTTCTGTCACCTCATATAAGAAATTAATTTAGAATTAGTTTGTTGATACAGGGGCACTGGCTCCTGTCTAGAACCGCCCATGTAACTAGTTAAACCATATCGCAATAAAATAAATTGCAGTCTCTGTTAAATAACAAAACAACATTTTTTAAATGGTAATTTTATTTTAAGTTTGTTTATTTTCTTAACTCTCAAGTTTTCATCCATAGTGGTGCACATCCACCTTGAATTAACTGTAGATTAAAAAGGATAATAAAATAAAGAGCAGAGTCACCAGTTGCCATGGTGATTCCCACACTACAGGAGACAAGTGGGTGGTAGGAAACATGGCTGACAAGCTTCTGGTGACATTGACTTCCACACACTGGAAGAAAAACGGAAACCTGGAAAATAACTAAAGTGTTTTGGACATTTACTCTGAACTCTGACATCCTGAGTTCTCTTTGTTTAAGGTTTTCATACATGTTTCTAAAGTCGTTTTTTTTGTTTGTTTTTTTTGTCATACATCTAGTTTAAAGAGACCAGTCTGTGTATTTCCAGGACCTGCGACCCGGAAAGCTGCCTTGCCCCCTTCACAGAGATGAGCTGAACCTTGGAGACATCTTCCTGGGGGTGGAGTTCGTGATGAAGCAGTGCCAGGAGGAATCTGTAGATCTTCATGCTGCTCTCACTGTGAGTTACTACTTCTCTTTTTTTAGACATTTTCATTTCTTTGCTAATAGGTTAACTAGTTAAAGACTTTTATCTGGAAACCTGATTTATCCAGAGTTATTATAACTGGTGGCGACACTTCTTAATTCAATTCAGTTTATTTATATAGAGCTTATTCACTACACGTCATCTCCAGCCACTTTAATGATCGATGGAGACCCTGGATCATCTTCTCAGATCCTGAAGTTGGTCTCAGTTTGAGTTCTGTTTCTTCATCTGCTTTGTAAGAACCAAACAGTTTCTCATTTAGGGTGCAGACCTGGAGGGTTTCGTCATAAGTCCAAATATCTCTGAACCACTTCCTGATGAGGTTTAAGCAGCATCTCTGTCCATATGAACTTTTTACGTCTGTAAAGTTCAGAACCTGAATAAAAGTTTGTCAGATCATGTTCTGCACGACAGCCGACCGCCATTTTCAACCTCTTAAACCCCCAAACTGATGTTAGGAAGGAGCGAGGACCCCCTAATTATATATATTGTATGAAATTGTGTTCTATCAAACTAGTCCTATAGTCACTGTTTTACAGATTGAGTAAAGTAATTTCTCCCTGGGATTATTAAAGTATTTCTGATTCCTGGTTGATGGGACAGGTGTTGTAAATGAAATGGTGCCCAGCTTGAAAGAGCTCCTGTGTGTCGCTGAATGTGTGCATTGATGACAGAAAGACATCTTCTGCCTCCATTTATCTTTTTACTTCAGTGTGTTGAATTCATTTTAATGTGGATTTAAAGACATTTCTATTAGTGGAAAAAATTGCAGGGTGGAATATATATATATATATATATATATATATATATATATATATATAAAAATTAAATCAACCAAAACTTTTGCGACCCCCATGCAGTACCTCCATGGACCCCCTGTTGAAGAAGTTTGGATCCAGGTATCAGCAAATTAAACAAAGAGTGGGAATGGAAACTACTTTTTGGAACAAGGGAAAAAAAGACATTCTTTTCATCTGCACACCTTAAGCAATATAATCCTTTCTCTCGCCAGACACTCAGTATACATTTGCAGGAACTATAAACTTTTTGAAAACAAGTCACTGGACTGCTGGAAACTGTTAGGACTTTTTGAGAACCACAGTAAAACACAGAAAAGCATCGACAAACAACTTTGACAGGACATTTTCGGACTGCTCAGTAAAGGCAAATATTTTCAAGACTGGACAATTTGATTGATCGGATTGCATAAACATTTATTTTTCCAGTGTATATTATTAAGAGGGAAAGTATTTATGTTGAAATCAGTTTGTGATGAGTTTTTGTGTTTTTTTTCTTTGGTTTTTCTGTAAACGAATGACAATGTTTAATTATCTTTTTTGCTCACTGTATATTGTTGAACCCATTCTTTTAAATAGAATTTTTCTAATAAAAAAGATCACAGCTCGTTTACATTTTTAGTCACCTGATTGGTTTGCATTAAATGTCGTCTCTTCCTGCAGGCCGTCACGACTCACGGCATCTGTCACCTGCTGGGCTACAGGCATGAGACAGAAGAGGAATGGACCGAGGTTTGTATCCATGTTTAGATTGCTGCTCTCAGGTTTCACTTGTGTTCTTTATCAGTCCTTCTTTTGCTGGATTTTTAGCAGTTATTCTAATCATTAGTTTAAGTTTCAGAAGGTGGAGAACTTTTTTTTATTTTATTGGTAAAGCAAGTTTTACAGAGAAAGGTCATCAAAGTTTCAGTGACCACCTCATTACTGTGAATAAGAAAATCAACATATGTTAATTTGTTTTGTTTTTTAAATAATAACTGGTATAACATGTGAATAGTTGAGGGAAGGTCTATTTTTTTTTTTTCACTTTCCAAAATAGCACGGTCAGCTGAGACCTTTTTCAATTACTGTAAAAATGTCCATAGCTGTATATTGGTTATTTATTCTCCAGATGCAGTTTTTATATTAAAACACTTTACAGTGCATTATTTTATTATCTTTTAACTCTTCATTATTATGTTATTCTTATACATTTTTCTAAGGTCCATATTTATTTGACAGTTTTTTTTTCTATAATCTTTTTGCTGCTGTAAACGCCAGGATTTCCCCACTGTGGGACAATAAATAGATTTTCTATTCTTTTCTATTAATAGAAGTGAATGTGAGAATAGATTTGAACCAACTGATAAACTTCTGTTCTCCCAAATTTTAAAGGATTGCCGATGGCTGACAAACAGGAACATTTGGACTGATTGTTATTAAATGGTTTTGGAAGCACGAGTTTAAAAGGCTGTAGTGTTGAAGATGAGTCACAGATCTTCAGGTTGAGAAGAAATCTTTTAAAATCAGGGATCCTCAAAGTAAGAAAGGAACTGAGTTTAAAATGTCTTCCTCTACTGTTTAACGTACTGATGAATAAATATCGCTATGATCACCTGATGGAAGCACCGACCTTATGGGATCATTTCCTTTCAGAAATGTTACCCCTACGCAAGGGCGTAGGTTTAATTTCAACTTTGGTAGGGACACTATTGGTCTTCATATTCATTGGTCTAATGTCATTGGTCCAATGCAAAAATATGCATGCTCTTTTTTTTGTTTTATGCTTAATGTGAGCATCAGGACACTGTTGTTTAAAGAGAACAGCAGCATTTCTTGCTACATTAATATAAATCTTATAAGCACTAAACACACTAGATGCTGTTTATCAATGTTTAAAGCATCACTGGCTCTGACGATTGTGGAATTAGGACTTCTTTCCCCCTTGAAAAGGTTTGCATGTAAACTTACCAGTTAGCTTACCACTTACTTACTTTTTTTTATTTAATGCTCCAAGCACGCACGCGTGCACACATACACACTAGAAAACAAGCAATCAGAGAGTTAAACAGCACAGCACAGTTCTATGCGCTGCTACGTGAAAGATACAGGAAGACGAGGCAGCTGCAGCTACCAGGCAGAGGAACTGCAAGAGGAAAAGAAGCCACTGCTGCAACAATGCTGTATAGTAAATTATAATCATGTTGTTCACATCGAATTATTGGTAGGGACAAGAAGGTCATTCCAAAATTTTGGTAGGAACAGGTCCCTATGCAAACCTATGCCCATGCCCCTGCGCAGACCCCACACATCCTGAACACAAACTGTCTAATTCTACCTACAAGCTACTTGATAACATTCAGAGAACCGGTTAATAATATAGCTTAAACGATAAAAGAACATAGCTTTATATACTATAATTTCCTTTGAAGTTTATATACTTTAAGCTTGACGTCTGAATGCTCATCACAGGAAACTCAAAGTCAAACTACTTATTTCTACAGTCTTGACAAATAGATTCTTTTTCATCCAAAAAACTTTTTATCTGCTACGGTGGCTCGTGGTGTGAAAAAAAAAAAAAAGGTCCAGCAGAAGATTGAACAAATGCTGCCTTTAGAAAAAGATTTGTTCCAGGGGAGGTTTATGAAATTTTAAGATACTCCAAAGCTTTGGCTGCATAAGGCTGCTGGACTGGATTAAGAGAAAATAAATTAATCAAACTGAATCTTTGGATTTGTTTTCTGGAAATGCTTTTAATGCTGGTTTTGATATAAACTTCCATTTAAGAATCAGTTTACTCTGGAAAATCAGTCTAGAAATAAGTAAAAATTTCTTAAGTGCATTTACCTTGATTTGAATAGGTAAATGAGAGAGTTTGCTAATGGAATCAGTATTTTTACTCTTAACATAATTTGATAATATGCCCTTAAAATAAGACAATGAATTTGTGTTTTATTTTAAATCTAAATGATCTTGTTTTTATTGGAAAAGTGTATCTTATCTCTTCAATTTAAGAACAAATGCACTTTTAAGAAAAAAAATGACTTCTCTAGATCTTGATTTTTTTCCAGTGTATGAAGTGGTTGCATTTTAAATAAATTAGAAATTAATCTGAATGTTTTGGGGGTTTTTTTTGGTCCAGACAGAAAATTCTAGAAACACGTTTATAATAAATATTTCTGCTGGTGTTTCAGATGCTGCAGAGGGAACAATACATCCTCAGCGAGTTCAGCAGACTCACCGGCCGACACACGGAGCCGCTCATGAAGAGATGCGGCCCGGACACATGACGGCAGCCTGCGAGGGCCAAAAGATCAACACTGCACCAATTGTTTTGCACTAATTCAATCCACTGCTGCTGTTTAGGATTTTAATAGAGACTCTTGACAGCTGGAAGGACGTCTTCAGCGACACAATGAAACATCAATCGTTAAAATAAACAATCCAGTCTGTAGTTTGACTATAGCTTTATTAAAATCTGCTTTTAGGAAGAATCAGTCGTGTATGAAGGGTAGAAAAAGCTTCCCACTCTCACTGCATAAATACATACCAGCCTATTCACACAGCACTCAGGACACATGGCAGGGGAGAGAAACACCATCAGCTCATCGATCCACCTCTCAGGCCACTCATATCCACCAAATTGATATAAATATTTAAAGGAAATCATCTTATGAGGGAGAAATATGACATGTTTAATCTAGCTGTGGAATAAAAACTAAACTAGATTTGTTTTGGGATTATTTTCCAAGCAAACGGAGAACTGAGCTGATAAATACTGAAGGAACAGGAACATTAACTATTGGGGGGCGGATCCACCTCTATGCTGCAAACACCATTAAAAATCTGTTGGCTTTATACATACGAACATGACAGAAGGTCCGACAAACATCCAAAACCAAAGTTGTGCACCTTTCAAAGTAAAGCTCGTGCACATGTTTATAAAAGTTTTCTCTGGAGGCACAAGTTCAAAAAAAAAGAAAAAAGAAATCCAAGCCAAAATATGGCAGAACCTCAGAAACCAACAGACATCTGATTTGAAAAGAAAACAACCGAACAGGCGAAGCAGCACGAAACAACTGATCAGAACCGACGTATTGCACCAAATGTAACCCGCTAAACACACCCACCCTCTAGCTCTGCCACAGCTTTGACTCCAACATAGAATTCATATTTATTATTTTATGGGAAATAAAGAATCTGCAGCTTAGCAGCTGCGTCTGATGGTTGAGGGCGACAGGAGGAAAAAAAAGGCATCTATAAGAAGGAGGCGCCGTTTGATGCGCTGAAGGTTTGAGCCTTACAGTTTACTGCCTGTAAGGACTCGAGCTCATTTATTGGGACAGTGTGGAGGACGCCCGCAGGACAGCTTGGTCTACGGGGACGTCTCAGAGAGGCTGCAGGACATTCCTTCCTGCTTCAGCGGCGCTGCTGGATCCCAATCGTTCCATCTCAGACAGCTGCTCGAAAACATCCCTGGAACAGAAACAGTTTCCCATCATCAGAAGCTAGAAACAGTTTAGTGATCGAGTTAAGACAGATCAGAGCCGTCAGATGGCCTCACTGGCTAAAGGTGGTCCTTTAGGAACATGCAATCATTTTCAGAGGGTCTTGTTTGTGAATCCCATTCATTTTTCATAGATAAATTCATAGCTCTTTTGCAAATGTAACCTTGCTGGTAGAATTTGCATGTTTTTAAAGCCAAAACAAGTTGATGGGCTATTATATAAAGCTTCAAACTCTATTCCTGACATTTTGAATTGAAAAGCTTCCAGGATAGGAAGCGAAACATCTTCAAACGTGAAAACAAAGTCCACTGGATTGTTTTTTAAAAATTTTTTGGAGTAGCTCTTTTATGCTTCTGAAACTAATCAGCTCAGAACTCTCTGCGTTCACAGTTAACAGAAATGAAGCAAATGATTTCCATGTTATTCCTATGTGGTGCAAAGCATGCGTTTTAAAAGCAGCACTGCGACTTTAGGTGCGGTTCACACACAGAGACAATCAGCTGACAGGTGGGGGAACAGGAGCTCCGTTTTTAGGAACTCTGAGTTTTTTCCTAATCTTGCCAGCAAAGATGATTTGTCAAAAGATTAGAAACGCATCTTGAAATGCAGTGATGTGTATGACGTCAACCAGCGACGGCAGGATAAAGGAAAATAAAGACGCTGTGCTGACTTTAGCTGGAATACCATCCATTTTTGTGAAAAATGGGCAAATGAATGTATCTCCTAATTTTATTTATCAGTTAACTTTGCTAGTTCTGAAACAAATCCGAATGTGATACAGCACAGCTGCTGCAGGCAGCTTTCAACCAACATTTTGTTTCCTGTACGTCCCTTTATACTGCATCATATAGGAAATTCTACGCACATTTTCTATTCCAAGTAATCTTGTTCGGACTTTAGATGGAGGTATCGGGATGTCAGACACACCTTCAAAAAGGTTGTTGTTTGTTTACGGTTCTAAATCTACCAAAGGGTGCATTAAAATATACAAAGTAAAATTTAAGTTTATTCCAATGAACCAAAATATTAGTGATGGGTAAATGAGGCATCTTGAAGCGAAACATTGCCAAACTGTATAGATACCGTCTCACAGAATACTGACACCTGCTGGACCTTTAAAGGGGAACACCGTTTATTTTTTTATTTTTTTTTACACTGGCACCTTGATTTTACGTTATTAGATCATGTTTACTCACCCATATGAGTTTTGTGTCATTTGGAGCTGTTCTGAAGATATTCTGTTAGGTTATATCTAAGTAACATCTTCCTTTGGGCAACAACTTGAAGGCACAAACTAAACTGTTCATTATTTATTATTTAAAGGTACACCAGCAATCATAACATGTAGGTGAATCACTGCCCCCCAGACATCTGCGGTTATATATTTTATATTTATATTCTCAAAACCACTCCACTTCGTTTTCTACTTGACAGTACAATATCAATTAAGTTATTTGTTGTATTATTTCATATCTATGTTTAAATTCAAAATATCTTTGATATTTTTAGATGCAGCCAATAAATAATGTAAACATATATTAGAAAGTGAAAATGTGAATGAGGATGCTTGTGGACTAGGATTTTAAATCATATTTTTAAAACAATAAGTACAGTAAAAATAGTAAAAGCAAAAGTCAATTTGAAATGAACTTTAATTCAGATAAGTGAGTGACAAATAGATTTGTTTTGTACAAACAAAGGAAAACTATGACACAACGAGAAAATTAAAGCAATGACTGTAACGTTCCTATTCCTTTAAGGCAAAAAAGTTCTTGATAATTTTAATGATAAACCTCAAAAGATTACTTTTTTTTTTTAGCAGATGCGTCATGTTGACAGATACGTTTTTAAACACATATTAGTGAGTCAGTCAGTTAAAAACAACTCCTGTATCGGTCACATGACTTTTTGGAAACAACACCCGCACCGATACGGTGTTTTGCTCCATGGCTTCCACGCATGCACCGACGCATCACTACAAAATATTATCTGACATTTTCTAGGCACCAAATCATTTTGAAAACACATCAACACCTAATCACAGCCAACATGCAGGTTAGCCGGACCCACCTGTGCATGTAGAAGAAGATGTATCCGCTGCGGTCGCGGTCTCTCTGGACGGCAGCTTCCTGCGTGCGCGACACGTCCAGGTCGTTGTAGGTCAGCCATGACTGCTTCTTCATGTCGAACACGTCGCTGATGTAATGTCCTGGGAGGAGATCGTAAAGACGGGTCGATATTTGGCTCTGGTTAAAACTCTGGATCAAAAAGGAGATGAACTGGGGGGGAAATCTAGGCTGTTTGGAAGCAGGAGCTCACCAGAGGAAGAGCTGCTCCCGATGTGACTGACCGCACTGATGAGTCTGTAGGAGTTGGCCAAGTCTCCGTTCTGTGGATCAGAGAGGAGATGCTCGTCATCTCGTATCCGATGAGTCATTCGACACGTTCTTAGTGACACCAGCGAGCCTCGTACCTCTGCGTTCCTTTTCAGGGTCTCCGCCTCGGCTTCTGTGTACTCCATGTCGAGGACGTCCTCGTTCCCGGAGTCGTCATCCGAGCACAGCAGCTCCGGCAGCGAGTTGTTGAACTCTGTTGAGGACAAAGAGGATTCCAGTCCGGCTGATCCGACAGCAAACGGCTCAGACGGACCGGATCAGGTCTGTTACCTACCCTGGAGGCTGAGCTCAGTGGCTCTTTTCAGATCGTCATCTTCTCTCATCTCCTGCGCTTCCTGTATGAGGCGAGAACAGCTCTGATTAGAGATGGTCAATGGATCCGAACGGCTGCCGCACAGGTTCTGGTCCTACATGTTCCTGCAGGCTCTGGGCCAGGGCCTGCTGCAGCTCCTGTTCCTCCCTCTCCTGGTCCAGGTTGTACTGCTGGACCCAGTCCAACTCTCCCTGCTGCTGCACGCTCTCCGGAGTTTGGTTCTCCTTGTTCTCATCCATCGTCAAATCCAGAGATTCCAGCACATCTAAACAGAACCAGAACATAGAGAAACAAACCCAAACGCTTGAGCTGAGTTATCAGATGTTTGACTCTGTACGTTCTGGTTTTAAACGGTTGCCGGTACCTGAAGGTGGTTTGTTGTCTGTTTCCAGCATATCAGCATGATAAGCCACTTCATGAACATCCGAGTCTCCGAACCCGGTGTCCGGGCTGCTGGTGGGCTCGTCCTCCAGCGGCGCCGCTCCAGGCAGCTCGGCTTCTCTTCGACTCATCTCCAGAACGGCGGCTAACATTTCTTCGTCGTTTATGCCGCTGAAATCTTCCGCATCCAACGCTGCCGCCTTCTGAAAACGCATCAAATGTGACGAATCGGAGCAGACAAGGAAGGCAGGCGAGGAAATGTAAAGGTGCATCAGAAGGCTCTTACCTCCTCTAGACGTTCTTCGTCTTCAGGCAGGCAGGTGCTGAGGCGCCGCTTGCGGCTGGTGTTCACCTTCCTGGTGGGCTCGTCTTCGCAGTCCGAATCCAGCAGAATCAAGCTGCAGCTGGAGTTTGTTGGTTTTCCCCCTGTCCTTCTGCAAAAAAAAAAAAGGAAAACGGTTCTGATCACTTCAGAAGGAGCAGAAACTGCTCTGTTCCCTTTGAAAAGAAAGCTTCAGATTCTTTCACCTTCATTTCATCAATGAGTTAAATTATTTTACAAATCGAATTTAAAGAACAGACCTCATATTCATGACAGTTAGAGGATCATATTTGCTTTTTGCATCCAGCTAAATCAGCTATTAATAACAAAACAAACTGCTTCCAAGAAAATTTGAAAAATCAAACCAGAAAAAAGGTTTTAACACTAAAATGTTAAATTATACAATCACTGGTGTGACTGGACAGCAGACCGTGACTGACAGAACAGCTAGCAACAACAGGCCACAGCAACACGCTAGCATTTAGTGGAAAGTTGAGTTGAGGGAAGAACTGAAAGCAGAATGTGGAAAAGCAGCACTGAAATCTGCAGCCTTAGAAGTATCATAAATGAAAGGCTGTTTGAGATCTGGATGAAGCTTCAAAAGTCAAAACACACAGATTGATCCACAGCATGGGCCGCCACACTGCAGAACTGAATCAGAACCATCCCAATAAGAAGAAGGAAGAAAGAAAGACTGTTCCACACTGGTCCAAAGTCCTCTCTTCTAATCAAAGCATAAGTTGTTTTTTATTTAGGAATAGACTTCCTAGAGTCCAAAGGGAAAGACACAGAACCAAGGCTGGTCCAA